ACCTTTTATGAATAAAATTAACTATTTGCCTGTTAGCTGAGTTATTATTAATACAAAGAGGTCAATACTATGAAACAATGTAAATCGCTTTAGCCTGTTGCATAAACAAATCGTATTTATACCGTTGATCAGCGGAAAATCGATGTTTGATGCTAATGTTCGATTCGTGTCGTATATTCAATACGGGCTCTTTAAGTGATTTCTAGACTATTGATAGATCATCTGATAAATCTTGGTATGTATTAGGTAAATAAAATCGTTTGTTCCATCCTGCCCTACTAGTAGGAAGTCCGATGATCGAACTGCCTGGATATAATTATTTCAAACTGTTAAACTAAATTAAAAATTTTATACTAACTATTGGAAAAACGACTTTAGAAAAACTTAAAAACAAAGTAATAAAGTAACACATCTTATTTATTTATTTATTCCGACGACGCATTCCTGAAAAGGATGCGAAACGTCAATAAATAAATAAATTCAGTGCATACAACCCGTTAAAAACTGTTTATTAATAAATAATTTAATAAATATTTCCAACACTCACACCAATTAGCCTAGCCCCAAAGTAAGCACTGTAAGGCTTATGTTATGGGATACTAGGGTAATAGATAGAATACATATACTGTACATATATAAGTATATTTATATAGAAATACATATTAAACATACATGTTTGGAATACAAATGCTGGTGTTCATCACACAAACATCTGCCCCCACCGGGATTCGAACCCGGGACCTCTCGAGTCGGCGACAACATGAAACCCGGCGTACTAACCACTCGGCCACGGAGGTCGTCATTATTTCAATATACTTCATGGACCTTTGAATATTGTCTTCTATCGAAAAACTATCTCTGGATCTGCTTTTAAATAGGGTGAAGGAACGAATTATTTTCGAAATGCGTTTTCAAAACTGCATACATTGGAAAAATTAAAAAAAAAATGTCCAAGCATTTCGCTCATCGGACTACTTAGTAGGTCACTCCCTGTAGCATGAGCTCCACAATTTACATTATATCACGTTTTTTATCGCGTCTAACTATCAAACTCCATAATATTTTGACAAGTCAATGTGATACAAACGAGCTATATCTATACCTATATGAAACTCAAAGGTGACTGACTGACTGATATAGTGATCTGTCAACGCACAGCCCAAACCACAGATCGGGCTGAAATTTGGCATGCAGGTAGATGTTAAGATAGGCATCCGCTAAGAAAGGATTTTGATCAATTCTACCCCCAAGGGGATAAAATAGAGAATGAAAGTTTGTATGAAAATTTGACAATTTTAAACCGATCGGGCTGAGACTTTGCATGCAGGTATAAGAATCATAGATGAATGTCATTGTGTATAATATAAGCCTGAGAACAAAAACTGTAGCCTATACTTCAGCTCTACACCGAAGCGAAGCGACGGCCGGCCGCTAGTAAATCATATAGCGCTGCTCATACTAGGGAAGTTGGATGCAATAAACGAAAAATAAAACCTTTTTAAACTAGTTTTATCGTCACTTTATATACATTTCATTTTAGTAGACCTTGAACCCAGAAGACTCAAACAAACGAAACGTTAGTGTTTTGTCCTTTCACTTATGGCCTTTTACTTTGAAATAGGCTATAGAATAAGACGTTGATTATATCTTTGTCAAACATTTTTAAGGCAGTATGATTGTGAATGTGAAGTGAAGTCAGCCCGGCGTAGGCACTTAAAACACTGTCGAAGAACTAATAAAAACGTCTTTACCACTGCGATATCAAAATACAGAGAGAGCAAGAAAAATACAAGGACCGTGTGTATTACATATTATTTTTAACATTGAGACGACACCTTTAACCTTTATGACTTTTCGTTTTTTTTTGCTATTGGTATTGATCTGTTTAGTTAAATTCGCCAACAGAATGTTCACCGTTTTAATTTAATTTATTAATTCTAAATCAAAAGATCAATCAAATAAGTTTATTGGTTATAACAACAGTAAGATTGCAGTGGTTATAGAATACATAGGTATACAGAATTATTATAACCAAAATGGGCGCTACTCAGTAAACGCTGCAACATAGTAGACTTAAAGATTTTTTTCTTAATAATCAATACACACACAAGAGGAAAAATATTATCAGAAAAAATCCACACGGTCCAGTTTTATGACAGGACTCGATTTAATTAGTTATCATTATATTTTGGTTGTTAGTTTCATGTTCATTTAGGAAAAAATTGTCCTTTAGTCGTTTTGCAACGCACGAGGCGTAAACATCAACTGCTATAATAATTTATATTAAATCGTGAGAAATATTTCAGCTTATTTGTTACTCTTGTTATTTTGGCTTAGATGTAGTATTTATACTTCATTCAATTGACTCCACCCCACCTGATGTTAAGTGAAGGTGAAGTCCAGACGCGAAGATAGCTGATACAGCAGTTCTACCTGCCACACCAGCCATCTACACCCTGCCGGCCAGCATGTTGCTTCTTCACGCCTCTTTTAAAGGATCCCAGGTTGTAAGAGGGAGGGAACACGTGAGCTGGCAGAGCATTCCCTTTACGGATAGTGCGACAAAGAAACGAGTCTCCAAATTTCTTTGTACGCGTTGGAATTGTGGCCACAGTTAGACGGTGACACCGAAGGCCAGCGCGCGTGGTTATCTGAAGGAAAGGGGAAGGTGGAATAAGAGAGACTAACTCCCCATAACAGTTAGAATAATTATATTTTATGAATACATTGACTTTCTTCAACAGTACATGCAAATAAATTTCTATTGATCTATACTAATTATATACTTACTAGCGGCCGCCCGAGACTACATCTAAACAATTTTTCGGGATAAAAACTATACTAAACTCCCGGGCACATATATCGGCCCACTCAAGTTTCAACGGTCTGTAGCAAAAATATATATTTTAAAAAATTCATGAAATGATGGTCGATAATTCAGCTTCAAAACTGTGTTAATGTTTTTGCTCAATAAGTTACTCTATTTTTAGCTAGGGACCGTCAAATTAAAACTTAAAATGCTAGGTTGGCCGATATGTCTCAATCCAGGTAATAAACTATATGTTTGCCAAATTTTATCCGAATGCGCTTAGCCATATTTGCGTGATTGAGTAACAAACATTCACGTTTATTATAAATTAGAAGGATTTCATCACTTTTTTACATGAAAAAATTTTTGATATCTTTTTTAACTAATTCACACTAGAGCCTCGTGGTATGCCCGTTATCCCTCTCCTGTCCATGGGGAAAGCTTATGCTTATTCCACGAGCTGAGAAATCAATAGTCTGATGATGATATTATAATTCCATTCTTACCAGTTAAAAACAATACATTTTTCAATGCATTAAAAAAACAATATATTTTTATTCGAATTGGATGTATGTACTAAACATACAATACAACTCTTTTGGATCTTTCAGAAATAGCTATTCCCTACCATTCTTTATTGGACATATTTTTTAGCTGCGGAGATAAACGAGCGAAAAAAACAACATTTACAAATCATTATGTTGTTACAACGTTGATACAATCATGATTTATTTTAAATAGAAAACCTGCTGGAATGATTGGAACAGTTCAAACCCAAGCATTTTTGTCTGTAAAATAATCAGACACTTGCTAATAAGCTTTTTTAATAATTGCTTTTTATAGTATATTTGAATTTATTTATGGTTAACTCTTCGATATTGCTTGGGCCTTTATTGTGTAAACGAACACAAAGACCTTCAAGTGAATTATTGATTTTTTAAAGCCTGGTAGCAGGTATAGTTAGTTTATTTTTATTTCTTGTATTAATTGAGTGAACATCACTGTTTTACAGAAACAAATTTAATATTTTTTCTTACAAGTGAAGTTGAACTTCACTTAATTAAATTAGGGATAGGCTGTCAGCCATCCTGCAATAATTTTTGTAACTATCTTATCCCTAGATAGATTTTTACTATTTATTAATTAGTTGGAATTGTCTTTTTGCTGGTTTCTGATTTTTTGTCATGTAGTACCAGCATGGGAATATAAAAAAATAAACAAAGCTATCAATCAAAGTGAAAATATCGCTAGTTATTAATTAATGAAATTCGCTGTTAACTTTGGTGTCATTAGTTCGTATCATATTATACGTTTGATCTATGATATATTGAATTTTTTGAAAATATCCTATATTCCGTTTGTATTTGAGATCAAAGTCCTATATTTAAATCGCAGGATACACTCATCATTTTTGGGTTATTATGAGTTGTCAACGATTTAAAATATCATGTATCACATACACAGGCGGGTCTCTATTTATAACCGTAAAATTTTTACTATAATTATTTTGGTTATTTATATCAAATTTAGTTTTGCTTTTAGACCAATGGTCGTTGTTTTAGTTGTAGTATACTCAAAAGTCATAAGACATTAAATCAGCTAGGGGTGTCGATATTGGCATATAATTCTCTAACCTTAAAACTAAATTTAACATCAGTCTCTCTTTTTCATTCTGTATAGAGAGAGAGAGAGAGAGAGATACAAGGATACACTGTAGTCAAGTTTAGGTTCAGAGAATCTTACCAGAATCGACACCATAACACAGATAAATATCTAGTAAAATTGAGCATGGATCTTTATAGTAAACTTTCCTTTATAATATAAATACACTAAAGTGGATTTTCACAATAAATAAAGGTAGTTATTAAGTTGATTTTAATAATCATCACTGATTATTCAATTAAAATCTTTTCCAGTTAATGAATGGTCTAGGTGGTGAATTTGCTGCGTCTTGTAAAAAAACCTGTCAATTCCTAGCAGCGCAAATATTAAAGAAATTTGTTCTTAAAAAAAAAGACAAAATTGTAACTTGCATGAGAACTTAGTTAACACAAACAAATAGTACGTTCATCACCGCTTCATCAAAATAATACCAAAATCCACACAATTATTTCAAATTGCAGCGTTGTATGTTGTCTTGCTACAACAAGTGACCGAGTATTACAAAGACCCGTTTGTTTGTCGTACACAGGAGCCGTCTTCGTCGTCGTCGTCGCGGCACGGCGAGCGAGCTCATCACGTCAAGTCGCACTCGCGGGACCTGGGCACCAGCCCCTTATCCGCCAACACCACCGGCAATAGCTCCAGAGAGTAAGTCTTGTGTCTTCCTAAACTTGTCCCGCTTGTTTAGTTATGGCTAGAACCCTTACTCCCTTATTAATAAACTAAGACTACGCTTGGATTAGCTACTCCATGTTTTGTCTCTGTTTATTAAATGACAAATGGCATTTGAGTGATATGAACAAAACACGGCGTAACTAATCTAAGCTTATTCCTTGTTAATTAATAAGGGGGTTAAAGTCTTAGCCCACTTACACGATTCTACGCTCACCCGGCAAAAATAATATAATTTAAATATAGGCTTTAAGTATTGCTCTTTCTTTATCGCAAATTAAATTAGACAGCTAGCTGTCAGCGAGCTTACCGCCGTCAGACTGCTTGGTAGTTGACGCCTCACTTACCACGCGCCGCAAGGAAATAGTCTACACTGCTCAATTTTCTATGATCGGAACTTCTTAATTGATAAATTCTATGTGTTAAATTGACATTATGATTTTATATATATAATACGCTTAAAGCTATTTATACGTCAATAATTGCATAATAAGTACTGAGGCCTAAACGCGAACTTTGACAACTCCGTAATCGTATCACATCGTCAAAGTTTCTATGAAAACTAAGAACCTCCCCTACAAATTAAATTAGCGGACAGCTCGCTGTCAACGATAAGTTCGTTGACTTCAGACTGCTAGGTAGTTGAAACCACGCTCTTACCACGCGCTGCAAGCAAGCAGTCTACGCGGTGTCCGCGCGCTGACTGCTAGTATGCCATTTTCGCATTACTACCAAGCAATCAGCTGATAGCTGGCTGTTAGCGCGTGGACTGCGAGCAGTCGCCTTGGTTTAGATCGGTGTTGGGTAGGAGCGGTGTTGTATCAGAATCGTATAAGTGGACTAAGTGGTGACTGACAATAATGCTCTAATTACAGTGATATCCAGCACCTTATTATTTAAGTGCGTCTACTCCACCGTTTATTTCATTACGAGTTACTTAGATAGTACAGCTAACTTATAATAGTAAATCTCTTTGCAGTCTGGAAGACTCGCCGCAGAAGAAGATTCTCTCGGGCCTGATGGCACCAGGCGACTACTCCGGCCCAGTGTACAGCCCCAATGTGTCTTACGCGCTCTCTGATGATTACGGCTCACCTGCTTATAGAGGTAACTATAACTGGCTAGAGTGCGATTCAATCTTAATCGTGGCTGTAAACTAAATGTGTCGGGTGACGTAGGTGCTCGCGAGATGTCATTGAATTAAAAGATTCGCATTGTTTTCTCTCGCTGCTAACTTCACAACCATAATAAAGCTTGAATTGCACTATACCAGTAGCACATAATACATTTTATTTATTACTAGCTGTGCCCTGCGTTTATTAGGGATATTTTCCCGCAGTAAAACTTAGCCTATGTGTAAATCCTGGGTGTCAGGTAACTCTATAGCAGTTTTTTTTTAAATCGGTCCGGCCGTTTAGACGTGAAGAAGTAACAAACATACACACTCACAAACTTTCGCCTTTATAATATTAGTGTGATTATTATAGCTTGTCTTCATTGTCAAAGTCTTTGTTTAATCATATAGTTTTAAAATCATAAGATGACAACGAGTTCACATTTAACAAACTTGCATCTTAATAAATTATAGAAGTATCTACCAAAATGCCAATCTTCCAATTTAACGGTAAAGCAGAAGTACAATGTCCATAGGAGAAGTTCGATTAAAATAATTCTGTATATTGCAGGTCAAGACGGTGATTATTCAATTCAAGGTAATTATAAATTGAATATTTTCTATGATCGGTACTTAATTGATAAATTCTATGTGTTGCATTCAAATTATATTAGTTTTTATTTGTTTAATACGCTTAAAGCTATTTATATGTCAATCATACGATTGCCTCATAAGTACTCCAACACGAATTTTGACAGCTCTATAATCGTATTGCATCGTCAATGTTTCTATGAGAATTAAGCAGCGCCCCTACTGGACGTAAAAACAAACTGGCTCCTCCCATACTCTGCATTTATGAGCCAATAAAAAAGACTTTTTTATTGTTTACTTCATATAAGCCTTCATTTTGCCTTGCAGTCTCAGAAATGCTAGAGAAAATTCGACACGGCCATCAGGGCCTCAGTAGCATAATGGTCAGTGCATTCACCCGGATAGCGAGGGGCTCGGGTTCGAGTCCCGTCCGCTGCTTGGTCCGCGTGGAATGTTTTCTAGGAAAATTGTCTTTAGATTTAAACATTTAGCAGTTAAATGCTTAAAAGATATGACTGCTTTATATTTATTCAATTTTGCACTATTTTGGGATTGATATCATGATAATTTTTCGTCAGATGAAAGTGACGGTGGTAACGTGACGTCGTCGAAGGCGCTGGCTGCCATAGCCCACCTCAACTCGAAGATTGAACGCACCAAGGACCTGATACGGCTAGAACAAACTATTAGGGATGGTGAGTCGGATACATAATCTATACATATAATAATATATTTACGCAAAATTACCGTCCAAGTTACCCCGACAGAAACCTTGAAAAGAAACGAATTTAATTTGAAGACCTCCGTGGCCGAGTGGTTTGTACGCCGGTTTTCATGGTGTCGCCGACTCGAGAGGTCCCGGGTTCGAATCCCGGTGGGGGCAGATGTTTGTGTGATGAATACGAGCATTTGTACTCCAGTCATGGATTTTTAATATGTTTTTCTTTAAACATATACTTATATATGTACAATATTTGTATTTTGTATTCTATCCGTTACCCTAGCATCCCATAACACAAGCCTTACAGTGCTTACTTTGGGGCTAGGCTAATTGGTGTGAGTGTTGGAAATATTTATTTATTTATTTAAATTAGCAACTTTAACATACAACAATATACCAACCAAATAGAGAACCTTTTCCTTTTTAAAGTCAGTTAATTTGTTTTTACTGTACAAGCATGTTGTCTTTGCTTTTAATCAACATGTTTGCTACTAATAATTCTAATATTTCCGGTTATAATTCTATTCAAAACTATATTTTATTAAGTCAAACCTCGTTCTATCCATTATAACACAACTATCCATTTATCTATATATCATTATTTGTATTTCAAAAGACTTAGAGAACATACCCGAACTGCCACACTTGCTCTCAGTGAGTCAATAATATCCGCTAGGAAAATTTTCTTCTTTATAATAATATTTTTCGCTTGTATAGGTGGATGGATTTTTGGAGCCACGTGTCACGAGCCATATTAATGAAGACAAATATGAGCCATAATATTTTGTTCTCTATTCTATTTTGTATCTATGTTCAAAAAATTATTTAAAACCATATACATATATTAATTACTAACTTGAAAACAATTCAAACAAGAAAGGTCTTGGCATATACATTATAGAGAGGGTTAAAAAAAAGTGGGTCACGTGGTAGGGAACATATCCAGTTCCCTTACTGTACTTTAGAGTAATGATAATTGCTATGAGTGTCAAAGCTGTTTGAAATATTGTAATTTTATAATTAATATTGTTATATAATTTATGTGCCTAGATAATGTAAACGAATACCTCAAGTTAGCGGCGAACGCGGACAAGCAACAACTGCAACGCATCAAGGCTGTGTTCGAGAAGAAGAACCAGAAGAGTGCGGTGTGCATCGCCCAATTGCAGAAGAAACTTGAGGGGTACAACAAGAAGATCAAGAGCTGGGAGGTGAGAATTGTCAGTTCAAAAAAATATTTTTTAAAAATAATATATTATAATGTATTTATACTTTTATTATTTAAGCATTTGACTTTTAGATGTTATATCTAAAGAATTTTTTATTAGAAAATTTGCACGCGGACCAGTCAGCAGACGGGATTAGAACATTCCGCTATCCGGGTGGATACACTGGCCATTGTACTACCGCACCCCTAATGGCCGTATCTAATTCTTTCTAGTTCGTTTTAGGCTGCAAGACAGCGCCATCTCTTCGCATTGTAGGTAACCCACAATAAACATCTAGCAGTCAAATGCTTCAAATGTTTAATACGGTATTCATTTGACATTGGGGTTACCTACAATGCGAAGAGATAGTGCTGCCTTGAGGCCTAAGAAACACTAGAAAGAATTCGACACGGCCATTAGGGCTGCGGTAGCATAATGGTCAGTGCGCAGGGTGCGAGTACGAGTTCCGTCTGCTGCCCGGCCCGCGTGGATTTTTTTCTAGTAAAATGTTCTGTATATTATAGGTTTTTATATAAAAGGAGGGACATATTAATATTCTGTATGTAAAAGGCAACCGTTATAAGTCGCGGGACGAAACTCAAGCGCTGACCGTTATTGCGCAGAAGTAAAAATTAAGATGTCTTGGGGGGAAACGAGGTGCGCTGGTGGGCGTGCGTTGCGCCGATTGGCTCTCCAGTCGTACCCATTTTTACCTGACTGCGCAATGCAAGCGCGCTCTTGCACTGCGCAGACAGGATATAGTGTTTACCAGTCTATATATGTATGTATGTTCCTTTGTGGCACACTAGAGACTATTATTTATTTATTATTTATTTAATACTAGACCAAAATCATTTTCTTAATATAATACAGGTTTTACAATATAGTTTATCTTAATGCCAATGACGGATTTTCATTTTTTAGTTATAGCATAAAAGTTTAGAAAACCCTCTACCAAACAAGGGCGAGATGTATGGATTCTAATGTAAAAAAATATAAGATTAATATAACATAAGTTTAGGTTGTATGGTATTGTTCCCTTTGCCTTCCATAAATAGGGAGAATCTTAAAAAAAAAGGTTAAATTGAACGAATGGCTCAGCTATCTCTTTTTTGGCAATTAAAGAACGAAAGAGACAAAACTAAACAGTGTGAAGTTCTTTTAATCGAGTCATCGAGCATAAGATATCGTGAAAACGAGGAGTGAAATTCTATACTCGTACTGTGACACAATTCGAAAACATATAGTTTGATCGCATCGACGAAGACGATCGTTCGTTTCGTATTAAAAAACTCATACTAAGGGTACTGAATGCTTCGTGAAAACCGTGTTTTTACTATTATCTTTAATGAAACAATACCCATATTTTTACCGTTATAATGTAATTTAATTAATTGTTAATTTGTTACAGCAACATGGCACAAGTGGACAAGCGCACAGGCAACCTAGAGCAGTATTACGTGATATGGGGCAAGGACTGAAGTAAGTCACTCTTTTCCGCTACTCTCTCTGTAGACAGAAAATAATGTAGATTTAAACGTTACGAAACATTTGTAGTTGGTTTCTACTACTTCTTACCTAGCTGTGGATCATATATATTTTGAATATAATATATCGACAGTGAAAAAGTACATCAAAATTGATCCTATGAGGGAGGGTCCGTTTTTTCTCTTTTGAGGTACGGAATCCTAAATATTATCTTAATATTTGTTTTTGAAGTGAAACTTCTTTTCGGACGGGGTCTAAATGGAAAAATCCTAAGGAAAATATGAAACGAAAATGCGACACGAGCGTCACACGATATATATAGATATGTGTGTGTGCGCGATGCGTTCGCAGCTCTTCCCGTCGAGAATAAAAGTTGCAGGATAACTTGGTGAAGGCTGAAACACAACTATGCGCTGCTCCATTCCGCTATGCCTTATGCACCGCCTCATGTTATGTTACTTAAGAAAAGAAGTTTCACTGGAGATGAGTGGTCCGTGCACACTATTTTTTAGCCTTAAACTCATTGATTTATAAATCTAGAGGTACAAAAATATAAAATTAAAGGACAATGGGCGAAACACACCCAGCTCCGCCAACAATGTAATTAGTATGAATCGATAGATCTATGAAAAACTAGTCTTTTTCATTATGACACCTTAAAAAATATCCTGGTTGTCTATAGATATGACACATGGGCATATTTAAGTAACTGAATAAATTCATTTTATAGTACCTTCATTTTATATTATTAGTAATCATAATAATATGCCATATCGTACTTATACAACCAGATATACGACAAAGCCTGCCGACCATCCTGCGCTTGCTCTTACTCAAATTTCAAAACGGTTTACGGATGCTGAAGGACTTGCAGTTGTAAATAATAGTCGACTCGTCTTACTTCGTTGTGATTGTGTGCTCCCTGCTCTTTTATTGATTTTTATCTAACACGCTTTGGATATTAGAACACGATTATCGGTTTTATCAATTAGTATGGATGGTGTTCTCCGAAGCGTGGACAAGTTTGAGTAATCTGTGGTCGCTCTGTTTTACATAGAAGACAATTTACTATAACGAACAGAATGTTTAAAAAAAAGCCCAACCCATGCGGATATTTTTGGATTAACTCTACCGCGGCAGAATAACATAAGGGGGCACCTTTGCACCTTGTGAACTACTCCCATAATTATTGTAATCAGTCCCATTTTTGTAATCAGAAAACTTAATAGAAATTAATACAATGTTTAATACAATATGGAATAATGATTGACAGTTAAATGACTTAGAATAATGTATGTAATTAATAATGGTTAATTTAAATTTTGACGAAACGTAAGTGGATTTAATTGTAATTAATAATCTATGGGACATGTATTTGAATGTATACCAGTGCCTGCAATAAAAATGATTTATTTATTTATTATTATTTATTTATAATATAGAGCACCCTATGTAGAGTCGAACTAACTAAATTAATTCCCTTGTTTCATTCATGTTCGTTCGTTATAGTACTTGTATATGTTTAACTTAAAATAACTAAAGACCACCGGTATGGAATTTGATGCGCCTTGGCACAGATGATCTTGACTATAATACCTTTCAAACAACTGTAGTTTAAGCCGTGGAGGACGTGGGTGCAGCGTCCATACATTTTTGCCCAATGTTATTTCATTGGAAACTGACGGTACGGCTGGTCCACAGGTTCAAAGTCGCTCAGCGCGCTATGGAAAGGGCTATGCTCAGCGTTTCTCTGAAGGATCGCATCAGAAATGAGATAATCCGACAGAGAACCAAAGTTATCGACATAGCCCACCGGATTAGCAAGTTGAAGTGGCAGTGGGCTGGCCATATTTGCCGAAGAACCGATAACCGTTCGGTTAGACGAGTTCTGGAGTGGAGACCGCGTCTAGGCAAACGTAGTGTACGACGTCCTCAGGCACGATGGAGTGACGATTTGCGCAAGGTGGCTGGCAGGAGCTGGATGCGAGTAGCCCAAGATCGATCTGAGTGGCGTGCATTTGGAGAGGCCTATGTCCAGCAGTGGACTAAGATGGGCTGTTGATGATGATGATGTTATTTCATTCATCTTTTATCCCGTTAGAAACGTGGGCGGCAACATTCGGGACGGTATCACCGGGCTAGGGGGCAGCGTGATGGCGGCGCCTAGAGAGTTCGCGCACCTCTTCACTCGCAACAACCGCTTCGGGTCAGCAGACAACATCGCGCAGCTCGCCGGTCTGTAGCACTCATACTAATGCGGCCGGCATTTCCCACCTGCGGTCATATTAACGTGGGCAGCGTGATGACCGCACTTATACTTTACTCAACTCCCTCTGAGACAAAAGGTAGTATTTTATACGCATACTAGCTGACCCATCGAACTTCGTACCGCCATAAAAATAAGGGTTGGTGGTAGAGGGGTGAAAATTTAGGCTTGTATGTATTTTTGTATGGTGTATCATAAAAAAAATAAAAACAAAAAATGTTGTCCAAATAGGAAAAAAAATAATGGTAGACCACCCTTAACATTTAGGGGGATGAAAAATAGATGTTGTCCGATTCTCAAATCTGAATATGCATATAAAATTTCACGAAAATTGTTGTCGAGCCGTTTGGGAGTAGTTCAATTACGCACACTGTGACATGAGAATTTTGTAAATTAGAAGATTAAACGTGAATGAATGTACATGACGTTAAAATGAGAAATTTTGTATTCAATAATGTGAATTTTCGGTGACACCGATCATCGTTACTCTCTATAAAAAAAGTTTTAGAAACATTGGTTTATATGTTTACCTTTTGTCTCAGAAGAAATTGAATAGAGTATAGAGAGTTTGCGAACCCCTTCTCACACAACAACAGCTTTGGGTCCGCCGACAACATCGCGCAGCTGGCCGGTCTGTAACGTTTAATACAAATTAACTGACTAGCGGCTGCCCTCAAAGTCAAAGTTTTTACTGCAAGTTAAAGGTTTATTTACCGTACACAACATTATTTTAAAAAATCATTCAAAATACTGTGTTTATTTCAATACAAATATGCTAATGAGTTAATTATCTACACCCATGCTTTAAAACCTCTATTAAAAATTCTGAAACAGTTAGCTTATTGTCAACATTAAAACATCCAAGGTCATAGTAAAAATAACCAAGCACCCAAACAGGTTTTATAATGTTGTACTAAATTTCATAATAACACTCCTTCGCTTTTTAAATCCCTTCCGCGCCAAGGACTTACTCATCAAACAGCCACAATTTTTACTGCTCAATGCATGGTATTATTAATTGAAAATAGAGCATTGTCCTTCACGCGCGTGTCACTACCACAGCGCCGAAACTTTTCATGAATTAAAAGTTCTTACAATGGTTTCAGAATCTTTTCTAGAGGATTCATATCATGGGTGTAGATAAAGTCTTGTATGCAACTGTTTATAATTAGGTATTCAAACACTCATGTGATACTATTATAAACCCACATTCGTGTTTCAATACCCCTCATTATACAGCAGCTGAATAAATAATTATTGCATTGAATTAATTATTAGTGTAGAAAGATGTTTATTATTACAAAATACACATACAACTACATGTCGTCCATATATACGTTATACATTTACTATTTTTGTTGACCGCCAGCTTAGCTATTTGTCTTATTCCAATGCTTATAAGGTCGAATATTATGCTTCCTATGTTATTCGTGCTTATAAACGTTATTTCTGTAAACATACACCCTCATACTACAAAACGCGGATAAAGTTGTGTTTTGATTTAAATCTAATGTTGTTTGTCTCCTTTTTAGCGAACAAAAATGACAGCATCAGTTTTAGTCCAGCCCCTCTAGCATGACCACCGAAACGGGATATGATAAAGCGATATATCGACATTAATTGTCAGACTACAGTGGAGTTTGACAGTAGTCTGACAGTTAATGCCGATATATCGCTCTATCATATCCCGTTTCGGTGGTCATGCTAGATTGGCAGGAGCTCTATTTTGGAATCGCTTGCCTGACATAGTATCGTCGAATGCCACTTAAATCTTGCGACTTCCAAGTCGCATGATACCGATTTTCCGTATTTTTGAATCGTTCATCTACAATGTTACCAGTTTAATACAAATTTTTTTTTTTTTAATTTTACGGAAAAAAGATAAAAAGCTGTCATTACCGCTGTGAAAAATAAACGTGTAATTCTCAATAACTGGTTATTTAATCTTTTGCCTTTTTTGTTAGAAAAGATCAAAAAGTCGCAACAAATCGTCATCTTATCTGTATTTTAAAAAGATTGAGAAACAATCTTGAGAATATCTGACATAGACAATTATTCTACCATTCGCCTCCATCATTCGCTAACGCGCAACGAGTGGTCGAGACCGCTAATTGACGTCGAGCGATTAAAAAATACGGAATTTATTATGTCGAAACAAAATTAGTATAAATCGAGCATTCGACGCAAGGCTAGTGATTCAAAAATAGAGCTCCAGGTTTAGGTTAGGTAACTTTAGTCTACGTTTTGTGGTTAGGCAGACAGTGGTGTCAATTCTGGCGTGCATCTCTAAACTTAAAACTAAATTAAAGGTCAGTCTCACCTTTTCATTCTGTATAGAGAAGGACAAGGATGCACTGTTGTCAAATTTAAGTTTAGGTTTAGAGAACCATGCCAGAATCGACATCAGTATCGCAATAGAAGCTCTAATTAAAATATAGGTTTTGTAATAATATAGAAAGATTTAGTGTTCACTGCTATTATATCGTCTCATTTATCTCTATATTTGGCTTTTATGCTCAATATTTAATATGCAACTTTTGAAATGTATTGGGAAAATTATACTGCTTTTTAAACTAGAGCCTCCAGTTACCAGCACACTGGATTATGAAGTGGTGACATAAGATAAAATTAATCTGTATATATAAAAGGCAACCGTTACTGACTGACTTTTCTATCAACGCACAACTCAGCGAAAGGATTTTTCAAAAGCCACCCCTTAAACGGACGGGTAACATGGAGGTTCAAAGGACAAGGTTGTATGGCTAATAACCGAGATTGCTTATAACTAAGTAAGCAAATACCGGATAACTTATGTAGAGTTTTTTTTTTTATTTACTATCTAGTTGTGCCTCGCCACCCGCCGTTTATTAGGGATATATCCCCGCAGTAAAACGTAGCCTATGTGTTAATCTAGGGCGTAAGCTAACTCTATACTAAATTTTATTAAAATCGCTCCAGCCGTTTAGACGTGATGAAGTAACAAACATACACACTCACTAACTTTCGCCTTTATAATATTAGTATGATTATGACATTCGTTCATTCACTCAGAATAAAATCTTACATGAGCGAAGCTGCTAGCTGAATCTAGTAAAGATTTAAATTAAAACCACTGGTACTCTTCATATAGTTTACGCTCAAAAATAGCTAAGCTTAATTTTCCCAATACTTTTCCTATGCAGTACAAAACAATCTCACCAATCCAGCTGGGAGAGAAATATTGCCAACCATATTACCATTGCCGATTTATATATTTTATTATTATTTTACGTATGTGTTATGTTTATCGTTTAAATACGTCATTATAAGTGTATTTATTTTGTCACAGAAAACACGGGTCCTTGTGAGTACTACTATTTCTATTTGTAGTCTTGATACCACTCATTATGTAGTGACCGGAAACACTAAGTTATTTACCCCATTCTTTAGATTTAATTGTGTACGTACATCCTATTTTCATTCTATGCTTCGTTATTTTCTCCTTTAGAATTCATTCGTTTGAAAATTTAGAAACTATTTCCGGCCGAACACTATATTTTCATGTTAACACTGAACCTTAACGTTTAGCATAAACACGTACCTATATTTGAATTTCATTTACACACGTTTACTGCAACTTTCTGTAACAAACATTCCCTTTCACCTTTCTTTTATCTTAAGTTGGCACGTACACCACTCATTCAATTAAACCCTCTTAAACGGGTTTAAAATTCTTCTTTTTTTATTACTTTTTAACGAAAACGAAACGTGAAAAAAAATATAATTAACCGCATTTTGAACCCGTTTAAGCGGGTTTTATTTAGTTTCCTTTCTATTATAACCTTTTATAATATTTATGTGTGAGACATTATTATTTTTTTTTTTAATTATGATTCAAATGTCATTCCAATGACAAATTTTTCTCATTCACAAATCTTAATTGAGACGCTTAAAATAGCCTCCTTATTTTAAATAGTTTCCAAATCATTTATGATTTCAAAAAGCTTTAAATTACAAAAATCACCAAACAAAATTGAGTCAACGAATTGTTCATATCGCAAAATGTATTTTTAAATAGTTTTATCATACATAGAGGTTCATAGATAAATCGACTTGTTTTTATTTCGAATAGATTAAAGTATAATACAAGGTATGTAATAAAATAAGATACATTTTACCGATCTTTATGACCAGATTCGTTATCAAGTGTTCAGAAACTATTGACTTGCGTCCTATTCGATGTAACTAACACATGGGAGTGCGAGATAATGATCTAGTCACCTGCGATAGCGTCACTCAATGTTAAGTGATTATTATAGTGTACCGGTCTGAATAATGTGCAGGGTTATTCTATTTGCTACGCTTTTGCATAAAAATCGCGCTGCACGATGTCATTAAAATATGATATGAATATAGCAAAGGCAAAATTTATTATCAATTAGAACCGACTTGAAAATCGAAAATGGAACTAAAAAGTAAAAAATTATATCTGGTTCATGATTTGGAAGTCGGACATTGGTTTCATTGTGAACGTAATGTTTGTGATGATATATTTTTTTTTAATTTAATATGTTCAAATAGCAGTAATCAATATTTCAACCAAATAAATTAATGCTTCTCAGCATGAGTTGTGAGAAAATAAATATTTCAGCCGAATAAGTGGGAAAGTTACAGAAAAAAAGAATAGGTTAAAAATATGAAAATAGGTTGAGCCATAACATTTGACTTTAAAATTTCTAGTAGTGTAGAAATATTTAATTCATATCGTGCGAATTATTTTGTGGAAACATAGTGCGGCATAACCCCACTTACTATTTATATAACTCAACGTGAGTTTTCATTGTCGGAACATTTTAGCGGCATGTGATTTAGTGTAATATTATGAGGTACATTTGAGTGACATGTTATTCAAGAAGTGCAGAAAATGCCGTAGAAAATGTAAATATTATTTAAATTGCAGAACATCCATATCATGCTTTATTTTATTTGTCTTCTGTACATTATTTGTTTATACACTCATTTTCTTAGTTATATTTAAAGTGGTTTTCCCTTTTAACTTACCTGAGTTGCGTTGTGATGTATTTTTTTATGTTATGTGTCGTTTGTTTGATATCAGATCAAGTTATCAAACATCGTTATTTTTTTCGTATGGTTTCTTTAACCTGGTGTACTGTTCACCGATTTTTAAATTATTTCAACTATGGAACTTGATAAATAGGAAAAATGCAAATACAAAATAAAGGTGCTTTTTCAAAACAAAATATAACAAGAGCCATACATTTTGTATTAGTAGCAGCCATGCACGTACCTACGGCGCATACTATATCGATGAACTAATACTATATATATTTCACACGTTATATGACACTTATAAATGGTATCGCTTGCTTTTATCACTGATATAAATACTAATAATACTAACACCAATCACAATACCAATAAAACGTCTTAAACAGAATTGGTCATACGTCTTAGTGAAACCTTTGTCATGTACCATACAAAGCTTTTATACACGATGCAATATAATGTGAAACGTGTTGCTTATCATGCTATCTCCTTCTTGCACGCCAGCCCCGCAACACACGGAACTGAGAGGTAAATACATGCAACGCATTAGAGTTTTAAGTTCGTGTTGTGTCGAGTTTCGCATTGATTTTACACAGATAAATGTTGAATTAGAGCATCGCCTAAAGAAATATTTTCACAGCAACCACAGCTATATAGTTTTAATGTAGTGACTTTATCTAAAAGATTTATCGTGAGTTGGTGACTCACCACTTAATTAAAATATCTCTTTTAGCCAGATAGCTTTTAAGAAGTTTAAAATGTTTCTGTCTTTTCGAGATTTGCTATCTTCTGGGCATAATAATAATATAGAGATGATGACTAACCTTTTCTTGTCTTCGTCTTATCAGGTAGATTATTAATAAGTATTGGATTGGACACATTTTTTCTTTCGTCACATAAAATCAAACCATTAAAGAGATATCACGATTTAAAATCTCGTATGACGTCACGTCTTGGTACAAACTTAGAAGTGACGTCACGAGGCCCACACTTCCAAACTTTGACGCGCTTTATTTTTGTATTTTTTTGGTTAATTGACAACAGAAAAAAATACATGTCCATTATTTTTTGATAATCTAACTGCCGGACTAAATAACGAATTCTTTGTTTAATTTACCCCGTTATCATCCCCATAATTATAATTATGTCGTTCTAGAATACATATATATACACAGACCTCGATTTAAATAGAATATGGAGGTGCTTCAAATTGCGCGATATATTTTGAGTACTCACGCGAACAAATCAAGTGGTGGAAAAAGCATAGGCCTGGGCCTCCTGTTTTAATCAATTCTATAGCTTTAATGGCATAGTCAGATTTGAAGAAGAATATGCGTTTGACTTGGCGTCAAGTGTCAAGAACGGTGACGCAAAGAAACAAAATAGCATTATAGGATGAGCTTGGCATGCTTTTGGCACGTGAGGTTCTCTATCTCTTTCTCTTTCAGTCTGTTTCGATCATTTTGATGTAGGTCTCCTTTAAATTACTCCACTTGCAACGATTTTGTAAGAAGCGGAGCCATTTATGCCCAAAACTTCCCTGCTATTCTGTTTATTCCAGTGCATCTGAGATCTTCCTGGTAAACGCTTTTGTCTATATGGTCGTTTGATTCCGTTGCGTTATCTATCTTAATCTATGTCTGTGTCTATATGTTATGCCGGCACTTCGCATGGCTATTCGTATTTGTTATTTGATATTTGTCATTTTTACCTTATCATATTCTACAGAGAGCTAAAAGGAAAGACTGTTGTCAAGTTTACAAATAGCAGATACGAATAACCCTCTGAAGTTTTTTTTTATATGAAAGGGTGGCATGAAGCTTGTGCCCCGCCTGATGGTAAGCGGTCACGACACCTATAGACTCTTGCGATACAAAAAAAAATCATTTGCGCCGTTGCCCTGACCCAATCCCCTATCCCGTGGAGCCCTGGAAACTTTACTCACCGACAGAAACACAATACCACCAAACGGGAGTTTAAAGCTGGCAGCCTACCAGCGCTTAGCGTCGCTGGTTCATAGACATAGATTACCACGCCTGTTACCTGCACGGACCAGTTTCTATAGGCTCGGATAGGCTGTAGGGTTTTTTTTCTGTATACGGCCTAAAAAGGCAAAGTTCCATTATTCCCTTGACTGCTACACAAATGCGCGTATTGAGTTTTGCTACAACGGGCAGCGAACGCGTCGTCGGAAGGCTCGCGCGCGTCGGAGGCAGGCGAGGCAGCGGCGCCGCGCGGCTCCACATTACCGCGCGCCGCGACTTCGCCCGCGCCCAAGTTCTCGCCCGACGCCTCGCCTAGCTCCTCGGTCACCAGTGAAGGCGCGCCGTGAGTATATCAAAATATGTCTAACCGTATTTTAAAAGCCTAAGAAAAGTCTCTCAGGACCACTTGCAGCAAATTTTCTAAATCTCGATTCAACTAAAACTAGATCTATAGAAAAATGTCTAAACGTCAATAAATAAATAAATATAATAAATATTTCCAACACTTACACCAATTAGCCTAGCCCCAAAGAAAGCACTGTAAGGCTTGTGTTATGGGATACTAGAGTAACGGATAGAATACATATACAGTACATATATAAGTATATTTGTATAGAAAATACATATTAAACATCCATGACTGGAGTAAAAATGCTCGTATTCATCATCATTGCCTAGATATTTTTATTACTTACATTATAATGTCAAGAAGGAGCTCGATGGTGCAAGTGGTTAGTTCGTTCGGCTGCGATCATTGAGGTTAAGCGACTTTCGCAGAGGTCAGTCATTGGATGGGTGACCAAAATGTACTATGTACTCCACCGTGCTTCGGAAGGGACGTTAAGCCGTTGGTCTTGGCTGCATCTGCAGTCCTTACTACCCATCAATCCGTACTGAGCGCGCGTGGTGGGTCATGGCCCAATCTCCCTCTTCCGTTCAAAGGTAACGCCTGTCCCCAAGCAGTAGTAACATTAATATTCTGATGATTAGGCTCAAACATGGAACCTGATTATCTTATCTTTTACTGGAGGTTGATTATTGGACCTGGTACTGGTAAGTCGTTATGTCGACACCAGCCTTTCTTCTTCTGTCCATCTGCAGTTGAACCGACAGCAGTTGTTGAATAAAAAGATGCACCAGATAATATTACCTCCAATTCCACTATTCACTTGAGAGGTCACATTCATAAATTTTCAGATAATGGATTTTCACTGTTGCTAAGGTACATCAAATGTTATAGCACTTACACACACACTATAGTACAACATTAAATTTTCGTGGAATCAAGATGTCAGTATTGTATTACTTTAACAAACTATTTAGAAAACTTTTTGTACTATAATTCTTGCCACAGAGTTGACAGATAATCAAAATTAGCCTTTTTACATGTATATTAGTTTTAATATAATACCGTTTTCAAATTCTAAATAAAACACTATGATTCTTCGTTCAATAGGTATCCAACGCAAACTGGCTCCAACAACATTTCGGAGCCAACGTTTACGATCAAGCCTATATTGAACGAGCTGCGCGAGCGCAAAGAAGATTATGAACGGTTAGCGGAGAAAATCGATGCGCTCAAGGTAAATAATATAATAATAATATATCCAACACTCACACCAATCAGCCTAGCCCCAAAGTAAGCACTGTAAGGCTTGTGTTATGGGATACTACGGTAACGGATAGAATACATATACAGTACATATATAGGTATATTTATAGAGACCCCGGGAGACCCCTGCCGTGGAGCCCCGGCTTTGCCGGGAGGCTGCTAGGTGCGGAGACGCGGAGAATCCCTAAACGGGGATCCCGCGGCTTCGCGCTAAGCAGCTTAGAGGGTATTCGCAGGACTTTTTACCTGCGTATTAAAAAAAAAAAGGTATATTTATAGAGAAATACATATTTAACATCCATGACTGGAGTACAAATGCTCGTGTTCATCACACAAACATCTCCCTCCACCGGAATTCGAACCCGGGATCTCTCGAGTCGGCGACACCATGAAACTCGGCGTACAAAATACTCGGCCACGGAGGTCGTCAATAATAAAAATAAATAAATAATTTATTTCCACCCACTTTACACGCTTAGACCCTTAACTATGCTAAAAATTTTAATGGAGTTTTCAGCCATAGATAAATGATTCAAAACGATGATTTATATGCAAAGAATTAGAAATGATTTTTATGGAATTAGCGCAATTTTTAGCGCAGTTGGCTAAAAAGTGGTTCCACACACAAACTGCGATCAAGTGGGCGGGGCGAAAAAACCGCGATCAACACGCCGATCATGGGATTGGTTGGGATTTCCATTTAACATTATCTTACCCAATAAATGGATAGCCGACTTCATTTGCAGATGTTTGTTTTGTCAAAGTACTTTGTTTTGTCTGTATGCGTGTCGCGTTAGTATTGAAGTTTAGTTGATTGAGTTTGGAACCATGTTTTTGCGGCCTTTGTTAGAGAGTAAAGCCGGGTCTTCAGCAAAAGTTTTTTGAAAACATTCAACAGAAACACACACATAAAACTTTGTTTCTGAAACATGTGTCTCTACACCCGCCATCTACTGCTCACGTGGTAGTCGTACACAAAATACACAGCGCTACGTTCAAAAACTACGATCCAAGTGCAACAAATGTCAATTTTGGCAAAAGTTTCTTACATTTTATGTCAAAATTGAAACGTCACATCGAAAAGTTATATTTGGAGCATAGGTTTGGAACGGAGTTGCCGCTAACGAGGATTTGTGTGTTTTCCATCGGGCTAGAAAAGCAAAAACTTTGTTGATGCAAACAAATATGTATAGTGAAACAATGTTTTTTGTTAATAATTTTGTTGAATGTTGATATGTTTTTCTTGATTGGGCTTGTTTCCATATTATTTCTAATTCGTTGTTTCTATGTCTATTCTTTACCGAATCGACGCGAGGGCGGGCTACTTAAATATTACATACATTTGTTCTAGAATTTATCACAAGAAGTATCGTTCCTGTCGGCTGCGTTACAAGAGGAACGCTTCAAGACTGAACGGCTAGAGGAACAAATCAATGATCTCACTGAACTTCATCAAAACGAGGTACGTATGTTTATTGTATATCTTCTTTCTCTTTCTGTGTGTACAAATCCCAAAAAATCTTTGAAAGGTGCAAGGATGATAAAAATAAACCACCGTTCAAAATTCAAAGGAATAATTGTATTCAAAAAGAAACCTTATTTTCTAAGGCTTATATAAACAGGAAAAATCTCAATATTGCCATTCAGACATCACTCAATACAAATTGATGGCGCCATCCACCAGCCACCTTATCTATTACTTTAAAACAACCTGCATTGGGGGATTAAATTTCTTTATTCTTCTGCATAAAGCAATGACGTAAAATTTTACGAGCTTACATATTTGACTGTCATAACTCTTTGACGCGTGCGTTTTAATTAAGACCTTATACAGTATGCTTTAAAGGTGATTTTCAATGTTTAAATAATGCCTTATATTCTTTAGACTACGCGAATCATTTTACGGAGCTCCGTGGATCGTCCAATGTACCTTGTGGACAGGTTTCGGGCATGATTTTGTTCGTGTTGGTGTATCTAGGGTATATAATATCGTTCGTCTATGGTAGTAAAAATTAATTTGTACTACCATTGATGAGGTAAACTGACAGTTTGTGCGAGCTCACGAAAACTATCATAGTTTTCGTAATTGTAAAACTCGTACTAAGGGCACAGAAGACCACAGTAAATTACGCTACGTTTTGGTGGTGTTGTGTTCTGTCTGTGAGTAAGGTTCTAGGACTCCAGGGGGTAGGCGATTGGGACAGGTTAGGCATCTGTGCGAGTGATATTTTTGGTTATTTTCCTCTTGTGTTTAAGGCGTTACAATTTATGATCATTACTTGGTTCGATATCTTATATACGGTGTTGTTTGCAGGTAGAGAATTTGAAACAAGCTTTAACAGACGTCGAAGAGAAAGTGCAATACCAGAGCGAGGAGCGGATACGAGACATACATGAAGCTTTAGATCTCTGTCAGACTAAGGTAACTTATATATACCTTAAATAACATAAAAATGAAATTTATATCAAATACTTTAATATAGCCATAAAACCGAACCTTGATATTAAGACATTAAGGCCCGTATTACAGAATGACAACTAAGTGTTGATCTTTACTTGAGTACAGTTAGAAAGGGATATCGCTATGTGCTATATATAGCGACATCCCTTTCTAACTATGCTCAAGACTAAATCAATCACTGAGAATATTTCTAAAATACGGGCCTAACTGTTAAATATAATTTTAAAACCTTTGATTGTATATGTCCACGCCTAGATACAGTATTATCTGAAAAGAAGCGGTGATAAAAATATCTACTATATTATGGTAGATGTGCTCGTCGCTACACACGCCCACATTGACTGCCCCAATCGGAAATTAGAGTTTCGCACACATTGCGCGTAACATAAGCCGTTTTCTTTGCGTGGTTTATTTGGATGGCTTTATTTAGGCGTTTTAATAATAAGTTATTTCAACTAGAACTTAAATTTTTTCATCTTTATTTTAATACTATAATCAACGGTATTGTCAGCGTGCCTTTTCATTTTAATGTATTACATCTAAGTAAAGATTAAATCTCTCAAAAGTGAAACATGAATTGTACTAGTTAATCATTTTGAATGCTCTTTTGCTGACTCGTCATTGGTTAGTTTTTGTCAATTTGTATTTAAAAGCTTTACTAACGTTGTTATAGTTAGAAAAGTAAAACTCTCAAATTCGCAAAATTATTCTCTTATTTCGCCTGTTTCATGACAGTGGCGTTTTTAAATACGCTGCTCTCCGGCCGATTTTTAAACAGAATATTAAAACTTAAAACTAGTTATTATTGGTTAATTTATTACATTGCATGTTCGTACTGCCAATGTTTTTACGTCTAAATATTATAAATTTGTGCTGATTTAAAATTTGGAAGTTGTAGAGGTTAGGTTAGGACTTTCATTTTTGTTATATATAAATTAATATACATTGGGGGTGTCGGTTAGACATCCCGTTGTCTGTGTAAATGGATGATTTCTGCCAACGTCAAAAAACTCCTGTCTGTGAATGTTTCGGATTTCTGCCTCGCGATATTATAATATTTAGATATAGAATAGATGAATAGAAATAGACGCAGAAAACATTTATGAGTGATTTAGGTCATAAATGAAGATGATAGGTTCAGTAGAACTGTAAATACAACAGAGGGTTGTGACTGCCATTTTGTTTACGCAGACGATGGGATAAGCAAGTTACAATAATGGACGGTGGGCGCCGCAGGTGGGCGCTCGTTTGTTCTCAAATATGAAAATAGCAAATACTAATAGCCAAATCCAGTCGATTTTACATATTGCTTAGAGAGATTAGGACTTTTCTAAAGTTCATTACCATTCGCTTTCTTTGGGGCCAATCGCCTAACGGTCTTGCTATGGCTAGCGCTATGTCTTATAATTTTATTTTGTTATTTCTAACCGCCGAAGGTTTTCAAATGCCTTGCAAACTATCGATCTATCAATCTATTGATTGCAACTAACGATCTGCACTATCTAATTATCGATTGCAACTAACGATCTTGTTATACTACAAAGAAGGGTGGTTTATTATAGATAAGCAAGTTAGAACAATGGATGGCGGGGGGCGGGGGGGCTGGCGGGGGTGCCGCGGGGGGCGGCGAGGCGGCGGGCGCGGGCGCTCTGCCCCCCCGCCTGCTGCTAGTCAAGCTGCTCAACGTGGCGCTCACGCTCCTGCAGCTGGCGCTATTGTTGGCTGCCACTGTCGCCGGGGTCGCGATGCCATTCCTGCGCACTAGGTAACTATATTGTTACATCCTCCCCCGCCTGCTGCTAGTCCAGCTGCTCAACGTGGCGCTCACGCTCCTGCAGCTGGCGCTATTGTTGGCTGCCACTGTCGCCGGGGTCGCGATGCCATTCCTGCGCACTAGGTAACTATATTGTTACATCCTCCCCCGCCTGCTGCTAGTCAAGCTGCTCAACGTTGCGCTTACGCTCCTGCAGCTGGCGCTATTGTTGGCTGCCACTGTCGCCGGGGTCGCGATGCCATTCCTGCGCACTAGGTAACTATATTGTTACATCCTCCCCCGCCTGCTGCTAGTCCAGCTGCTCAACGTGGCGCTCACGCTCCTGCAGCTGGCGCTATTGTTGGCTGCCACTGTCGCCGGGGTCGCGATGCCATTCCTGCGCACTAGGTAACTATATTGTTACATCCTCCCCCGCCTGCTGCTAGTCAAGCTGCTCAACGTTGCGCTTACGCTCCTGCAGCTGGCGCTATTGTTGGCTGCCACTGTCGCCGGGGTCGCGATGCCATTCCTGCGCACTAGGTAACTATATTGTTACATCCTCCCCCGCCTGCTGCTAGTCAAGCTGCTCAACGTTGCGCTCACGCTCCTGCAGCTGGCGCTATTGTTGGCTGCCACTGTCGCCGGGGTCGCGATGCCATTCCTGCGCACTAGGTAACTATATTGTTACATCCTCCCCCGCCTGCTGCTAGTCAAGCTGCTCAACGTGGCGCTCACGCTCCTGCAGCTGGCGCACTAGGTAACTATATTGTTACATTCACATACACATTGAGGCTCTCTGCCCCAGGTGAATATTTCATATTTTTGTATGCAGTAAAGGAACGGACGGGTAACGGAGAAACGGGACGGGTGGAGCCGACACGGCGGGAATGGACGCTTTGCACCTTTGCCCCTTCCCATGGACATAGAGCATGCACTATGCGTTCCCTAACCGAACATTGCTGCAGTTCTTTATTGTAGGTCGCTATGTTGTTGCTAACAGTACATGAGAGTTTGGCAAGATTTGTCAGTTTTCTTGCCTTAGCGAGGTGGTGTCACTGATACTATCCTCGTCACATCATCATCATTAGCTTATTATTGTCCCCACTGCTGAGCCACAGACCTCCCCCTGGATTTAATAGGGAAATTAGGCCATGACCCATCACGCGGACCCAGTGCGGATTGGTGGGTGCTAACGACTGCAGATGCAACCGGTACCAACGACTTAATGTGCCTTCCGAAGAACGGAGGAGCTCGATATAATTATAGGTATAGATATTACTCTACACATCCACTACCCGTACCAGACATACATCATCTTTCTTTTTCGCAATTCCTACATGTCACACAAACTATGCGCAAAACTCAGTTGTTTTTCGATCGCAAAGTACATACAATAAAAAATTCACGGCTGTTATTAACTTGTTAATCACATATTAACTTGCAAAAGTAAAGCATCTTTTAAAAAAGAACTTTTAGGGCTGTTGGTTGATTGGTAATATACAAACAAAAATTAAACACTTACACGTGTAGGTATACATATATACACACAAACACACACATACACACACTCTCACACACATACACACGCACACACATATACAAGGGCGCGCGCGCATTGCACACATCTCGCCCTTGTTTGGTAGAGGGTTTTCTAAACTATTATGCTAAAACTAAAAAATGAAAATCCTTAATTGGCATTAAGATAAACTATATTGTAAAAGCTGTATTATATTAAGAAAATGCTGTGGATTTTGGTCTAGAATTAAATAAATAAATAGTAAATTTTGGTCACCCATCCAATGACCGACCACTGCGAAAGTTGCTTAAACTTCAAAGACCGCAGCAGAAAGCGCTAACCACTTGCGCCATCGAGCTCCTCGCCTATTTACGATCAACTGAAATCTTCCTAATAACGAAATTTCCAATCTTTTACCAGGGTACGCGTACTCACTACAAGCGTAGCTGTAATGGTGGGCGTGATGGTGCTCAAGCAATGGCCGGAAGTGACGCAACTATCAGAACACCTAGCCCGTCGCCTGAAAGAATATCTACTAGACAAGCACCACGACAGGTAATGCCCGACTGCCGGACGCGCGACGCGACCACGCTTTATATACCCGAGCCGGTTGGACGACGCGAAGCGGTTTTCTTTTGTTTCCGTCTTTTGAATTTCGAGCGCGGGTGAATGGAGGTTCGAGCGAAGAAAGGAGTTTGCTTTCAATTAGGGTTTTTGGGCAAGTTTACGCAACTGTAGTTAGCGCCACTGTGTATAAGATTTTATAAGAGTGTTTTTGACGCCAACTCTTAGGTGAGGTTGAAGAATCATATATAAAGAGAATGGACTGAGCGTTCCCTAATTCATTAAAGTAAACACAGAGAAAAGGAGTGTGAATGAGATTATAGCCCATTGTGCGGCCAGCAGTTCGTAATGGCTGCACGATCGCGTTCTTTCCTTCTTGAGAGTTCGATTTAATTCTGACATTGCTTAGTGAATTCTTGATCTCTATAGTTCGTAAACAATGAACATAACCTCAGAGCTGCCACCTAGCGCTCGCGATATTTTAGCCAATGATAAAGCTATGACCGACATAAAGCAGGTCACATTTGGAGTGAAAAGATATTCGCACTCGAAAGCCAAGTGACAGTAAGATGCGATAGTGACATGAATAAAAAGAAGTTCGCTTCTACCATGCGGCCTACGCTTGAAACATTAAAACCATATCTTTAACCCAACGAATTAGAAATAATGTGGAATACGAACTGCGCTAAAAAGTTGTTCCCACGCACACTGCGATCAAGTGGGCGGGGCCAAAAAACTGCCTTCAACACGCCTATGGGAGGATGGGATTGGTTAGGATTTCCGTTTAACACTATCTTACCCAATGAAAGGATAGCTGAATTCTATTGCAGATATTTGATTTGTCAAATTATTTTGTATTGTATGTGTGCGTGTGGCGTCAATATTGAAGTTTAGCTGGACAAGTTTGGAACCATGATTTAGAACCAGGCTTTCTTAGATTTAGATAGCAATGCTTCCATATCATTTCGAATTCGTTGCTTAAACCCGGCTTTACTGTTACGAGTCATTAGCGATTCCCGAGTTTGTCCCGAAACGCGGCGATGCAGTTACGCATAGTGGTGTGTTTGTACTAAACAAAGTATACTAAAGGGATCGAGTTCAGAATTTGTGAGACAAACTGATTTACAAGCGGCCGCTTCCAATATTACTACACTTTTAAAATGACCTTATGGTAATTGGTGATTGAGTTATCAATCACCACTACTATTTTCTAATAATTAACTAAAAAAAAACATATAAAGATCGAAATTGCGATGTATAATGATTTTTTGAGAAGTACGATGGGGAAGAAAACGCAACGCTTATTATAGTTGGCGCTCTGGCCGTTTGGCTCATAACAAGCAACCTATCATTTCAAGGTTGCGTTCTAAACTTACGCTTTAAGTGCTGCTTTTTATCATGACCTTTCAAATTTGACATAAAATATATGAAACCATAGAGGTATAAGAATAAAGTAGGGGAGATATAGACTCTACTACAAGTGGAAGTGTCTCTCTAATAGAAAGAGAAAGAAGATAAGAGACCGCTAGCTTTCTCTCTCTAATCGCGCATGCGCATTGGCAACCGTAAGCATTTTACTATGTGATGCCATCGGATGCCCTGCGTCACAAGAGAGGGAGATAGCTAGAGGTCTCACACCTTCTTTTTCTTCTTACTAGACGGACACTTTTAGAGGCTCCTTCCCTACTCTATTCTTATACCTCTATGTATGAAACAGGTCAAATTTGACATTTTGTTGCAGCTGGAGCGTAGGTTTGGAACGCAGCCCAAGTCTTTCGAAATTTTGGGTTTTCCTTGTGACTGACAGCTATCTTAGCTGTTAGGTTAGAGATAAGGAGAATGATCGCTGTAGAAAATAGTGTCCCAGAAATATGGACAAAATAAGTGGGGCGCTGCGATCGCAGAGTTGTCTTAATAAAAGCGGGCTAATTTGAAACGACCAATGCCGCGAAGAAAATTTATACAATATTCGACTAACTTCTTTTACTTGTACTCATAAACAGCTAACTTCACAGACACTACTTACCGACGGCTGGTGGCTGAAAAATGAACTATAATTTCTACAATTTTTCAGGGCAGGCGGGCTAATGCTTTAGTACGTAGCGATCGTTCTCCTTATATTTAACCTCCATGGTTTTCCTTGTGACTGACAGCTATATCGACTTGTTGCTAAGGGCCATTTGACACTGCGCCTCTGGCGGGATAAATTGACAGTTTTCTTCCCCATTGCACGATTATAATGAATTTACTTCTGTTAGATATTTTCAGCATTGTTTGTTTTCATGTTTAACACTAATATGCGTCCTATGTACCACGACTTTCTAACAATTATTTGAGTCATTCATTCATTCGCAAAAATCGCTTGGTTAGTTTCTTGCAGCGCAGTTTCTTCTGCTAACTACTCAGATCTGATATCCGATTATAGTATGGTAAAGTGCTTTATTTTTTTCTTCGAAGAATGCTCCATTAGGTAGTGGATATTTCATCTGTCTCATTTCTCCGTCCGTGTGTAGATAAAATTCATTTTTAGATAATGACTAAATCAGTAACCATTTATAACTATGACCAGAGGTCCAAGCACGAATGTTGACAGCTCCGTAATTACGGAGACAATTGTCTCGCATCGTCAAAGTTTCTATGAAAGTAACTAAGCTAAACAAACTAACTTTTGATAACGATACGTTAAGAGCCCTTTCACATTTTTTGCAAAAAATTTTTGAGCGCGCGTTTACCGTTTTAGAAAAGATTTTGACTATTTCCAATATAAGAAAACAGTAGATTTATTCTTCCTATTGTAAGTTAATGTAGAATACTTGCAAATACTATTTTCCTTTTTTTATACTGATCGTTCTACTGCAGCTAGTTTACGGAAAAAACGATAATATGCACAACTTCAAACTCCTCAGTAATGTTCAATAAATTAGATCAAATTAATTACTATGACATCAGAAATATGTTTTTGTTGTAACATATGTGTATTAGAATTTTGATTTTCTATTTCATTAATTATCAAAAAAAACATCTAACCTCCGTGAGTTTTCCCAAAAAATAATGCAGGTTTACCTCGTATTTTGATATTGAATTAAATAGAATTACTATCAAAAACTTTAATAAAACTAATCTACTATCATTGAACTACTGAAATATGTATATATTTTTATAATTAGTTCATTAATAATTATTTTATAAGACTCGGAACATCACCCGTAAAATGCAATATATACTAGTGCAAATCTACCTACGCGGCGATCAGTACGGCAGCGGTGCAATTTTGTAAAAAGGCTCTTAAGGAGCTGTCAAAAATTCATGCTTGAGCCTCTGAGACGTTATCATATACTGTTAAAGCCAGACAAAAGAAGAGTTTGAAGCAACATTCCTCTGTTTTGTAGATATTTAAATATTTCTTACTTTGCATGCCTGCCTGGCTTTAACAGTTGATATAAGCCACGGTAAATTGTAAGTTTGATTCCCCTGTTTAATTCATTGCCGGTTATGGGTCAATCATGCTACAAAATGGTGATCAAATACAAAAAGAAAACACGGAACTTTCATTAAATCTCATAAAACAAATCTAGAAAGTAAATAAAAAACCGGATGTTGTGCATTTTATTTTGTTTGATAAAAATAATGTATATGATTTTATAGTTCTAAAACAATGTTTTAATAGTTTTTATTAGGAACATACATTCTATAATATACGCTTTGTACTTCACGGTATAATAACATTTTAACCTTATTGTATGTATATATAACAGGATAACCATATCATAAATATTGTATTATACGTTATAAGTTAAATAGTTTTTTGCATATATTATAAATATGATATGTATAAAATTTGTTGAACTAGAATTCTAACATTACAATAATAACATTGTGATAGATATTTAATAATCATGGTTACTATGAATTTTGTCATAAAATTATTGAAAATAGACCTAATTGCAATTTTTTTATTCTTTTATGCTATGTATTTATATATATATTTATTGTTTGTTTTGTTTAATGTACATTATGTTTTTATCTGTTTTGTTTTCTTTTGGTTAATTTTTGTTTTGTTTTTCCCTTTAGGTATGAATGCAGATCGTTATGTGGTTGATAGTAAATATCGACCGTTTGTTGGAAAATTCCTTGCTGATATTGCAATTCTGTCTGTGGGTAAAAGAATGGTAAATATAATTACTACGCGTTCGCTTCGAAATGGCCGTTCCTACTCAGCCCGCCTCACCGCAATGCGCCCCTAGACAGACCCACATTAATCGATCCTATTGGTCAACGGACCAGTTGATGTGCCTGCGATTGGCCTGTAACACATTTTGTAACAGTTATCGACGGCCAACTCGAAGCATACGGGTAGTATTACAAACAATACTTACTGTCAACGAAACTGGACGTAGGTTTTGTACAAATTGGATCCTTGATCAATTCATTAATGTCTCATGGAGGGGACGACTTGTGAAATATAGTAAAACATGTTCCTAGCTTTCTTGATAAGTTACTTTATCTGTATTCCATTAACTGTCGGAATTAAATTAAAAGTCTGGAGCACATGATTAAGTTATTAAAGACAAAAAAAATATTTCTCAATAGATTTTGTACCTTAATGTGTTGCAATATAAATTTGAAATTAATTTAGGAAAATTGTCGAATTATTCATATATTTTATTTCAACATTTAACAGCTACACTTTCGTATATTGGAAGAAATTTTATGCTAACTCGTATAAGCGCTATTTGTACTTCGTTTGTATGAACCGAATACAATGTATATAACTTTTCTTTAGTAATGTCAAATTGGGATCCAATTTGGATACATACTCCATTTGTCTTCAAACGTCGCCCATACTTGAAGTGTAATTGAAAGTATTTTAATTAGACGTTTCTTTTTTCACAACGCCTTGATGTATTTTTAATTTAATAATGTTAAAAATGTTCCTGATGTGAACAAAAGAATTATCGGCAAAATTTTATTAAATTATTATATTTCATTATATTCTAAATTATAGTGTATTTGACGCTGTTAAAGCTCTATTTATTTTGTCATTCATTATACTTTTAACTCATAACTTTGAACATGAACAATTTTTATGTGATTCTCTACTCAAACGATGTTAAGTTTCGATAAAAGAATATCTTTAATAAAAAAAATAAGGAAAATAAAACTTAAAAAAACACATCACAATTTCAATCAACATTAAATGGCTAAGCTAATCATTTACTTCTTATTAAAAATGTTCCTTCGTTAAGCACATAATTAAATAAATCTAAGTTTATTTTTGTGAAGTGTAGGGAACTTGTATTAATTATAGTTACTATAATTGTAAGGATTTATGTTCACATACAATGAAAGCAATAACTTTATCGAGAGAGAAAATCATATTTCGTCAATACAAGACTGGAGTGGTGGATGCTATAATAGACTCTATACCGTTTTGTTAACGTTTATTTTGAAAATATTCTTGACACCGAGAAATTATACTGTCAAAATGTCATTGACTGCAATATAGAGTCGATAATTTAATAACAGTACAGTCTTAAACCGATTGAGATTTCCGAAGTCTCCTCGAATCACTGAATACCATTGCCATAGATATTGCAGTTTTATAATGTAAATAAAAAAGCAATAAGTCACATTACGAAGAGCAGTCAAATTAACCGAATCGATTTGTGCTTTACGTTGTCGTATTAAAATTTGAAGAAATGACCACATATATCACGTTCCTCGCCATTTTTCTCTTATCCCTCTTTATCACCTAGAAGCTTCATTTACTACAGGTTTAATAAAGGTTGATTCGGCCAAATTGTGCGTTATATAACAATGAACAACTCCGTACGCATAATACAAAATATAGCAACCTCACTCGCTCTAAAAACGATACTTGTATGTAACTGATAAAGGGGTATGTTATGGGTTGAATGGTAATGAACACACGTAGGTGTAGTACTCTCTATAATTAGAAAATACTCTACTGAAAAGTTCTAAAATGTGATTATTAAATCCTATTACTTTAATATTACGGCACATTTTAGGTTGGCATTGCAGCTTTAACATCTAAGTCCTGTATTCATAGTAAACATTTGAGTAAAGGAGTAACAGTTTATCAACATTATTAATAAACAACTGCAACACGTTGACATCGAATCAGCAACATTAAAATTCAACTTTGTTTACAATGAACAAGGGGCGTCAATATGTCATGAATTGATTATCATTAAAAAATCTGTCTTTCTTAATCCAAGTTAATAATTACATTCTTCAAAATTTACTGAAAGAATCATTGTTAATATGAAAAGTTTCATTGCTGTTTCTCATTATCGGTTGACATTTACTACATAAAAATGATATCTTTGTTACGTGCAATCGTTATATTATATCGTTAATATAATAAAATGATAATTTGGAATTTGTAATTCTATCAATAATTGTATTATAAAAATATTTATGTAGGTTTTCACAATGCCATCACCAGTGTAGTTATTCATTTTAAATGTAATTTTATAAAATCGACATAACTAAAACCGACTGATGATTTTGATGTTATTATTATCATAATTTTAATGGCTTTATTCGATTTGTGATGTTAATGGATTGGCGTTAGGAATTAGTCAATTTTGAAAATAATATTTATTATTGTAATTTGTTAGCTAATGGCGAATTTTAATTATTTTTGACTCGTGTTTGTGATCACACGCAACACCGATGTTGTCAATTTTGTAAGTTTTAAATACGAGTCTTACGGTGTAAATTGTAATTTTTTTATTAGACAATTTATTGTTTGAATTACGAGCGTAGCTGTTTTCGATCGTGCGGTGATGTTATTATTATTATAAACTAGGACATGCTTGAAGCTTTATTATAAATGCCTTGACTAATAACTGGACCGAATATTTCACATAGATTTTGAGCTCTATAGTAGACAGAATAAGTTCTAATTTGTATCGAAAGAAGGCTTACACACTCATTAAATGGCTACACGATCGGAAATAAGCACATCGTGTATCAACAGAATAATTAGTGAAATCTCTTTTTCTTCTGAACGAAACTAAACTATACATAATTTTTAACGAGAATACATTCCAAAATCACCTACTTAGTAGAGAGGGTAGATGCTAACAATATAATATTATATAGATTCAACCTCAGAGGTCCTCGGACATCGTTGAAATGTACAAATAATAGTGACGCTTTTTTCCACTACGGTTCGTGTTGTGTGTATATTATGTAAATATTTTTTTACATAGCGGTGTATAATTATTATATAGAAATGTTAATTTTTATGTCATAAAGAATTTTGTTCGAGTTAAATAAGATGTTGCATGCCTTGATTTTCGTTATTTGTTGGAGTAATTTCTTTATTAGTCTGAAATTTTGCGCGATAGAATGCAAATTGGTCCTTAAATATATCTTGAAACATGTATATGTACATGCCAGTTATTATTTTAAACTTTTATAGGTTTTTTTATAAAATGTTATCTAGAGTTACAACTATAAAAGAACCAAGTTGCTCCCTTGGTTAGTAACTGTTAGATCGTTCACAAAATAATACTTTATGAATCAATTTTATCTTAGATTCCATGTTTATAAGAAATGAATATATTTTTTTACCTGTGTTCAAGTTCTCCCATCGAAAATTTGTGAAGTTATTATTTTTGTTGCCGGCTATGGATTGAAATAAATCATCACAATTTTACCAACTTGTATCATTTTCAGTGAAGCAGTCTCCTATTGTCTTATTTTGACTCTTATTCTGATATCATTCAAGTTGAACTATGATCTGATAGGTAAATATTTTTAAAAGTGAAATAGAAGAAATAATATTGTGATGGAGGGTGTCGCCATCTAAAGATATAGGGTTCAATTCCCGATTGGATGAATGTAAGAAAACAATTTTGTCTTTAGCGTTTCGAGCTGGATTTTTAGTAAAGACAAACTAAATTAGACTCTAGTGTAATGCTAGCATATACTGTTATCATTATAGACATAGATCAAATACAGTCCGGTCCTTGATTATATCAGAGTCCAGAATACAGTCCAGTCTATCAAGCCAAATAATCATGTCTTTACTCATTTTTGTTATATATATATTTATTATCAGTTTTAGAACTATGTTAAAAAGCAATGTAATTGAATCTTTATTGATAAATAGTCACTATGATAACTTAGTAAAATCGACATCCTGTCCCCGTAGCATAGGCGCCACAATTTACATTATATCACGTTTAAAAACTCAACATTGAAATGAGAGCTATTAATATAGATTGATAGATACCGAGTAACTGCGGGTTACTTTGACCTAAAATATGCACTTAATAAAATTGTAGCTTCTCTTTGTGACGAATATGTCACGTTTATATCTTGCAATTTTGAACTTTAAAGTATAAATTACAAAGTTATCATACGAAAATAGGAAAAAATAATATTTAAGGGTTAGTATATATTTTTTTAATTTTGGGCCAAAGTTGGCCTTAAAGAGGGTTACTTTAGCCCGTTGAGTTTTCTTTGTGAAAAAAACGCATTTTAAGCCATGTTGGGGTTAAGAAACCCTTATAACAGATCACCATTAGCATACTGAATACACAAATTAAGTTATATAAAAAATATAACTTTAAATTTAGAAAAAATAGTAAACTTACCGAAAACCACAGTTTTGAGAAAGTTTGCGCATGAACTTGCGAACTATTTTAGTTACAAAAAATCCCGCGTTACAATGACAACTTGATACAGGAACGATGTCGGTAAAACAACAAGAGATACTGATGGGGCGGAAGTTCAATATTTTTTCTGATTTGGGACAAAGTTACCCGCCCGAGCTAAAGTATTGAAAAGTGTTGAGATTTCAACTACGATTTGTTTGCATTGTCCAGTTAAGCTTTTACAATATAACGGGTGTTCGGCCTGCTAAGTTCAATTAACTGTGCAGTCCGTTTTTTCGAGTAACCTTCTATTAGGTACTGATTTAGCGTGCTCTAATCCTGGTTGCTGTGATAAGGAAGGTATAAGGATATAGTGATAATGTACACATTCAATTCAGTATGAATATTTATTACAATTGTGAAAAAGTAAAAAAAAATTGAATCAACTAAAATATAAATAAATTGATCTGTTACAATATTATAAATAGAGAACTGCATTCGCAGTATAATTTTACCAACCATCATGAGGCCGCTCATTTCAGTAAAAAAATATGGGAAACTAGAAATTATGTTGTGTTTTATGTTAAAAACAATATAATTATGAAAATCTCAATACAATTTCTAGCTACAAATTACATAAATACAATTTCTAGATTTCAAACTACAAAGTCTCTCGTGTTTTATTGATACTTAGTTCCTCTTTTGTTTTAGTAAAACTTCACGATAAAATAACTTTCATCTGTCGATAGACACTCGTTCCCTAATAACTCAGCCTCAGTTATATGAGTAAAGTAAGGTAGTGAGTAGTTAGGTAACTACTCAGAACTCTTGTAAGCTAATCTCTCTTTAACCTACCAAGGCATACTGTAACAATTTTTGAATGAATAAAATTCTATTCCAATCCGTCTCTAACCAAGGATGGATTATTACAATGGGTCCATAATATGTTCAGTTAAAACCAGACCACTACGACGGCTAAAGAAATATTAAATACTTAAAACACATCTCATAAAAAAATAAATAAAATCTTAAAACAAATCTATGATAAAAATGCTGATACCGTATCACTCAAACTTCATTTAGGTAAGTATATAAAAAGGAACTGATTTCATAAATTATTTTAAATTAAACTTCTACGGCTGATTAACCTCTTCGCCTGCATCGTCGGCGACTCGTGATCTGGACATGTCTGGTTTGGGTAGCAGCGGTGGTTTATCAACACCAAGACCTGAGTCGTCGAAGTCTTCACTGTCAGGCTGGTCCACAATCTCGACGGATTCAATGGAGTCGTCGAGAAAATCGACCATCTCTGCTTCTGGTACGTGCCTTTTAAAGTACAAGTATTTTTTTAAACATGCATGCATACATTTTGAACTTTTTGTTATTATACAAAATCCTCTAGAGAAACAAGCTACTTGAACTTACACAGAAGATTGAAAAGTAAAGAGAAAATGATTTAGTCAAAGCGGGATAGAAATAGAATAAAGAGTATCAATAAAATGCAATAATAGCTGTAATGCAGCCAACAGGAGATCTGCGCCCCTAGGATGAGCACCCCGATATGATATAAACAAGCTCTTATCACGCTCAATTGTTCAATTACTATGAAGTTTGACAGTATAAGACGCGATAAAAACGTGATATAATGTAAATTGTGGTGCCTATGCTACGGGGACAGAATAAAGATTTAACTAATAATAAATAGTGATTATTTATCAATAAAGATTCAATTACATTGCTTTTTAACATAGTTCTAGAACTGATAATATATAAATAACAAAAAAAAATGAGTAAAGACATGTTTATTTTAATATCAAGAACTGTGTCAAAAAGCAAAACAATTGAAGCACCATTAATACAACATAATCGTTGACTTAGTAAAATCGATGGTTAGGTTAAAAAAATGGCATTTCTGAAGGAAACGTAAGAAAGAGGTTAGATCAAAAACACAGTCGTAAAGCACTAGTCCCACCGCATACGATGAACCGGAAGCGAGCAGATCTAGAAACTAGAAACGAGTTGGCGATCAGCGGGATGCGAGTGTGTAGTTCCGGTAGTTTTATCGCCGAGTTATAAGCGAGTGTGTGAGTACGATGGGCAAATACTCGCGCCACTCACTCGCAGTGGCAGTCCTGAGAAAAATGTAAGCGCGCACGTCAAACTGCCAAGCGAGCATCGCTGAGCAAGTATTATATTTGAAAACGCTACAAGCGTTCAGCGAGAAACTAGTGGAATAAGTTCTTGCCGGCAGTGTGAAGTCAGCAATTAACTACCAATATTATGCATCTATTTTGTTTACACTTCCTCGCCGGCATGCGGCAGTGGGACAACTGCCTAAAGTTTTAATTTACCGCATTAATGGAAAGAAAACGACCCCGAGCCCATAATCATATTAAAACCACAGAAAAATGGACGGCACAAAACTAACATATAACAGTCCCAATAAATCACAACAGAGTGTATTTAATAAATATATACTTACATCACAGGTGCTCCATGTGGCGAGTTTTGTTTTTGTAACATACAGCAATCTTACCACGCAGCAGATAATTCGAGTTTTTGACATTTCTAAAATACTAGCTTCAAACCGCGACTACGTCCACGTTTTAAATAAATTGGTTATTTTTTTATCTATTAGAAACCTTAAATCATTATCAGCCTATTACGGTCCCCACTGCTGGGGCACAGGCCTTCCCTATGGATGGAAAAGGGAGATTGGGCCATGATCTACCGTCCGGCCCAGTGCGGATTGGAAATAAACTACATGTGTGCCAAATTTCATCGAAATCATTCCAGCCTTTTTTGTATGAGTAACAAACATACAAAAACTTTTACATTAATAAGTCATTACAGGTTAAAATGCCGCAATAACTTGAAGTGATCAGCAAAAAATATTTGTATCAAACACTCGAATAATGGAAGCTCCGCATCGCGATCGGTCGAATGTTACAAAATTATCTTGCTTCTCAACGACACAACAGTTATAACCATGCATCATACAAACCCTTTAATACTAGTCTCATGCACTTCACTTGCCAACATTACGTCCTTATCATGCTCTATAAAGAATGAAAAGGACAGACTGATATCAAGTTTACAAATAGCTAACACGAACAAAGTGAAGTTCCGTCATTATATATTTTATGGTGACACTCTGAACGTGCATGTAAAGCACAAATATCACATACATAATTCCCTTTTATTTTGTTATGAAACGAAAATGTTTGAGCATGTAATGTCGTTCATAATGTATCCTTGATTTTAAAGTAATGTATTCTGATACTACGACTACATAAAGGCATGACTTGCTCAAACATCAGTCGCCAATCCAAAGTGTTAAATGAATAATTTGCTCCCAAAACATCAAACATAATCTACGCTCCCAAAAACTCATTGAACAGTCGTCAAGGCCGCGTTGTTTCATTGATAGTTAAATTTGACTATAGCTAATGCCAAGTCAAATGTACATGCAATGCACTATGTAGTGATGTATTAAATTTTAATAAATTGTTATATTTTATAAAGAATTTAACTTTAATAAAAGTTTACTATCGATCAAACAACGGGGCAGTAGTTTTGGAAGCTTATATTTTTATAATGGACGAATGGTGTGCAATAAATAAATAAACAAATTCTGTTTTACCAATTCCGTTTTATTTATATGCTTACATAGTTTGTATTTTAATATTACATGACGGCTAGCGTGTAAATCACTAAACATTACGGATATAGGGAATAATAAGTGTTTTTTTTTCATTTAAAATGTTCTTTCTAATCGAATCGATTCATTGATTAAAATCAAAAATCCCGTATGTGTTCAAGGGTCATATCAATATAATAAAAGCTTATTCAATAAAATATTCAAATAAACCTTAAAACGTCTAACAAAATAAAAATTTACAGTTAAAAAAATATGATTTTAAAAATAAATTGTTGTATCCCCGAGGAATGTTATCATAATTCAATATAAAAATGCACTAAAAAATATTTCACAATATCAAACTTAATAGTAATGTAATAATATACATTTCGTTTAACTTAATAGCGATTAGCGACATGTCATAAGAAATAAGTATATTCAGGGTAATATAATACGAATATAAAAATGCCAATGGGAATGCCGAATGAACTGAAGGGAATGTTAATGCTATTAAAATATATATGAGAATATACATATAAAACTAATATAGGTATGTGTATTTGCGAATGGCTTTGCGTCTCCATATATCACAAAAACAATTCCACAATCACATTATTGCCAATTCCCACACATCAGCAAACAATAAATAAACGTACGGTCCTAAAGGGTCGCCCTAATTGAACGCGAATACACAATGATAGGCATTACGCGCGAGCTTAATTTAAAAAAAATTGCCTCGATCTTTAATAAATAAATAAATATTTCCGACACTCACACCAATTAGCCTAGCTCCAAAGTAAGCACTATAAGGCTTGTGTTATGTGTAACGGATAGAATACACATACTGTACATATATAAGTATATTTATATAAATACATATTAAACATCCATGACTGGAGTACAAATGCTCGTATTCATCACACAAACATCTGCCCCCACCGGGATTCGAACCCGAGACCTCTCGAGTCGACGACAGCCATGAAACCTGGCGTACAAACCACTCGTCATAATTTAATTTTTTTAATTTTTTTTTTGGAATTTCCTTCCGGTGAAGTCGTGTATTCTTGATTAATTAGACCACTTATTTAACATCCTTCGCGTTTAATTAGAGCAACTTCTAAAGATTAAACCGTATCTTTTATGCCTATAATAATTTAAGAATAATGCATACTCAAGATTTTTCATAAAATCGCTTGAAAGTAAAGTGTGAACGAAAATCAATTTAATTGACGGATTACTTTTGACATTGCACTTGGCAATATTCAATAAATGTATGGTCCCATTGTGTTCCTCTGGTAACCCCATCACCGTTTAGATAATATTATGGAAAATCTTGAGTATGCAAAATCAATTGAACGATATAAATTCACCCTTCATAAGAATGTTATATTTTTATATTGGAAGCCAAAAGAAACGCCTTGTATGGAAACAAATGTCTTTGTCTTGGGTTTTTTATAATTATGTTTTCATTAAAACCCAAATATATCATAGAACAGATATAATAAATTATAAACGATTATTACGATTATTATATAATTTTACATATTATAATTCCGTCGCGTCGAAACTTAATTCGTTGTAAAAATGTATAAAAACATTGACACAAGTGTTTTAATACTAGTCCATCATAAGTACTTATTGTATTTAAGCCGTTAGAAACTAGTTTTATTTATAATACGAACGTTAATTTATTAGTTCAGACCAGAAATTAACTTAGGTCCCATTCACAACGGACGATACGCGAACCGTAAACTTTACACTACCTATCAAATTTGATAAAGATAGCATTAAATTATGTTCTTAATATAAACATTTTCCAATGTTGATTTTATATCTAAATTTCTTTGAAAGAAATGATTCTAATCATGCCTTCTATTTTTTCTAGTATAAACATTTCTTCATAAATAATAAGTCTAGTATTTAAATATCAATATGATGAATTTTATACGAAAATTTCACGTTGCGTCCATTGTGAACATTGCCCCAGGTCTATCCTACCGTATCAATAAGTTATTCTTATAATTAAATACAAAAACTGTTACATACACTGTCTTTATAACAGCAACTCCCCACTTATAAACGCACACAACACATGACGTCACAATTCCTCCACCAATAGGCATCGGTTTAACTTTAACACACTTCCTAAATTGAGTTAACATGAAACTCAATATGTCAGCAATCATTTTTCATTCAAAGATAAATATTGTATCTGCATTTAAGATGGATCCTGTATAAAATATACTATACTATATTTATCTGCGCTAAAACAATTAGCCTCCTTTATCAAATTTGCCAAAAGGTAATGTTATAAAGTTAAAATGTTTAAATCAAATAAATGCTTTTTTGAAAAATAAAATTGGAATGTGTTTTCCATCAGTCAACTGCAGAATGTCAATATTTTCGTGAATTTTACGAAAAAATATACATAGAATTCAATTCAACAATTTCCTTGTACCAGTAGGTGGGTTATTTATTTATAAACAAATATTGTTACACACTTGTTTGCATGAAATCTGTTTTAGTTTAGTTGGGATACAATTTTCATCTAAGGTTTTTTTTCCGTTAGTGGTTTCTCATTTGTTTATAATGTAATACAAGGTTGCATTTAAAAGCCCAAAACTTTGTTTATTAGGTTTTTATTAACAGATTTCATTGCAATAAGTGTAAACAAAACCGAAAGACAAACATTCAGTGCTTTACAACAAACTTAAACTCAATACGCTTAGAAATAAGATTCATAATTAATGAGTAAGCACTCTCTTGTGTTTATCCCTCGGTTTTCTGATTCATACTTCCGTTTTATCAATATATTGACATTGGAGGATTTCAGGAAATATATTCTAATATCTAATATACATTGCACTATTTGAAATTAGAAAAAAATCGATTGTTTAATAAAGGAGATTGCTCAGCTTCCATACATGTTTGGCCTAAAAACCAATAATCATGAAAAATTGTTTCCTAGATTCGAAATTATGTATAAATTACTGTAGAAACGAATATTATTGACGGACACCCCTGAGAACTTCTATAAACCATATACACTGAACATATTAAAATAATAAACAACAAATAAGTTATATAGTAAACTAGGGAAATCAAGCCAAGTACCGAAATTATGGATTAGATTCAGGTATATAGAGCATGTACATTAACAGATAGTTGTCTGTTTTTAAAGTTAATGCATAAGAGTAACTTTTAAAATCAGGTGTCATTTCCGGTTATAATAAAGTACTCTGTGACAGAAACTGTGTGATGATTGCGAATGAGCCACAGATTAGAGAGAATTTTTAAACTCTCGTTAACCAAAGAAAGCTAAGAGATTTAGGTTCTATAGCCATATATTCAGCAGCTTCATTATTTTTGTTATGTTTTTAAACATAACAAAAATAATATTTTAGTTATTAGTGTATCACACCTTATAATTTTATTTATTTATTTATAGTCAGGGTACGTACGTAGGTAGTAGGTAGATAGATACCTTAAAGTCTAACATATATACAGATTATAATGTGTTTATGGAGGTGTTTGGCGAAAAATGTATGGCAATAGACTTTATGATGTCGCCTACCATCTATAATAATTGTCTGAGCACATTTGTATCTAGTGAAAATGATAATATAGTTGTGGATATTAATACCACAGTGTAATAAAAAAAAAAAGATTTATTTTATCGATCTTTACAAAATAGATTTGTTTTTATGTTATATAAACAATTTAGATTACTCTTTGGCTGAATGTTACTACACCCAGAGCCATTAAAAATGATTCGTATGTTTTCCAAACCGGTAAAATTAAAAGTCCTTTTTAAAGTAAACATATTATACAAAGGTGTCCGTTGAAATCTAATGACTGTAAATTAAATTATAAATTACGCCAAGAATTACCGTGTATGTCAATATTTTTTGTGCATTTAGGCCAATTTGAGCAATCTCCTTTTCTGGTATGTTAAAAACATTTATAATAATATAATGATAAGAAGTCAATATAAAAAATAGTAATAGTTTATCACAACTTTGTAATGAGATTATGATGGAAAATCAATATTTATTTGCAAGAGTCACATATACTGAAATCCGCCAAAGTCAATACAAATTATCTCTCTCAACGATATCGCCAGACTTTTCAGATGCAAAATAAAACTATATATCACGTTACAAAACGGGATAAGAGAGAAAAAGAGTGGGAGAGAGATAATTAATAAAACACTTTCCGTTGCGTGTGTGGGGTCAAGGTCAAAATAAGGTCACATAAAAAGTCACGTGACTACTATTAAGGTCGTTTTTTCCACTTACGGCTTGTTGACCGGCGCATCCATACTGGGTATGTAGTCGAGCGCCATTAGGCAGGCGAATACGGTCATTATCATCTTGGGCTTGCGCTCCGTGATGTCTTCGGGGAGGGCGTAAACTCTTGCGCCGCAACGACGCGCCATTGATATGGCGTATTTGGCGTTGGCTAGGTTCTCCTGGTTGAGCAAAAATTTTTGGGGTTGTAGTAAAAAAAAACGGCCGAATGCGAGTCGGACTCGCGCACTGAGGGTTCCGTAAAAACTCAATTTAATACCTCTACGCGTTTATGAGAAATGAGGTAGTAACTTTAAAATTTTGAAAAATATTTTTTATTACGTTTTTCGGAATTTTTCCTCTATCTGTACTATAAGACGTTACTTTGTACCAAATTTCAAGATTCTAAGTTCACGGGAAGTACCCTGTAGGTTTTGATTCACGTGCGAGTTTCGAAAAATTTGCGGCATAAACGGCTGTATCTTTTGATTGCTTTGGCTTAGGTGTTTGATTTTTTTACAGCTACAAGGGACAGTAGACATGCGTATTAGATATGAATTTCAGTTTGATAGCTCCACGCATTCCTGAGAAAACCGGTCTTGACAGACGAACGGACGGACGGATGGACGGACAACAAAGTGATCCTATAAGGGTTCCGTTTTTTCCTTTTGAGGCACGGAACCCTAAAAATAGATACTACAGACATTTTTTTACTAGACCAGGTAGCAAACGGGACTCAAACCAACACCCCCCGCTTTTCGGGCGGATGCAGTGATCATTATGCTACCGCGGTCATAAATATTTTTTCTCTAGTATTTGGGGTGATGACTAATTTTGTTTTCTTCGTTTATCAGGTAGATTATCAAAAAGTATTGGACACGTATTTATTCTTTTTTCACATAATATAAACATTGCAGATATATTGATTTGAAAAGTCGCATGACGTCACGTTTTGGTACAATTTACACTTAAAAGTGACGTCACGAGCCCCTACTACCAAACTGTGACGCGCTATAACTTTGTCATTTTTTGGTTGATTGCCCAAAGAAAAAATACGTGTCCATTATTTTTTGATCATCTAACTGACGGACTAAATAGAATTTCGTTTACTATACCCCGTCATCACCCCTTTTCTTATGCTGCAAGGCAGCGCCATCTCTTTAGATTTTAGGTAACCCACAATGTCAAATGAATACATTTCCAAGTAATAAACGTTTGAATTAGCAACTGTAGTTATATTTTTGCGTTCTTGAGTTCGAGTTCCGCCCGCTGCCTGGCCCGCGTGGAATTCTTTCTAGTAATATTTTCTTTAGATTTAAACATTTAGCAGTGATATGTTTAAATATATATATAGGAATTAAGTTATTGATGAGTAAAGTTTGACAGATCTCACAATAAAATGACTATGGTGGCAGCTTACCATTGGCAGACCAAATACTTATTTAGAAAGTATAAAAATTATAAATACCTCTTCCTTTCCTCCCGGCAATACGAGATCGTAGTTGATGGAGCCAGGCTTGATGGCGTCGATGAGATCGATCACGACCTTGCCATCGGCCAACACTTCATCCTGGGACACAAAGTTCTCTTATTAATGCAATGTTACATTTTTTACTCTCAATCTGTTCACCTCATGAAACAACCTGACTAGAATCTGCATTACTAAATTTTTAGACACCTCAGTGTGTTAGGGGCCGTTCAAGTATTACGTAAGCAGATTTATTACAATTATTTACCCCCTCCTCCCCCTCGTCAGCAAAAGTAAGCAAAGCTCTTACCCCTCCCCCCCATCCTTACGTAAACATTGGTACCTATATGCATTTTTACTTTAATGTATTCTGTATTTTTTTTTTAATGATTCATGAGCTTTCATGAGCTTCATGAGCAGCAGTACTTAATCGATGATGCTGACGTCATCACCATCTCTACCCCCCACCCCCCCATGTCATCAAAAATAAGCAAAGCAAAGACCCCCCTGCCCCCCTATAGCTTACGTAATACTTGAACAGCCCCTTACGGCTGGTTTCCACTTGTCCTTACAAGTGGGAACGTGGACGACGGATAAGACGGAAGTGGCGACTCTGTATATTAATCGGTTGTCAGCCACAGACTTTAGCACTCTACGCGAGGCTACTGTACACGAATCTTGTTGTGATGTATCTATTATACATATAATAAAATGGTAGGAAAGTCAAAAGTGTACATTGAATATTTTTTTAAAAGAATACTTGGGGTGTGATCTACAATCGATGTCGAAGTCAAAAATATAGTTTTTAGAATTTTTGTCTGTTTGTATGTATGTCCGGGATAAACTCAAAAAGTACTGAAAGGATTCACTTTAAATTAGGCACTAATATTATTAAGAAGTCGGGTCAACATATAGGCAACATATTATCACGCTAAAACCGAGGAACATGTAACTACTTATTATTCTTTGGATAAAATTTCTTTTACATATGTTTAATTTTCTAGGAGGAAATCGTAGAGCGTCAAACAACGAATATTGCAATTTTTATACGAAATTTTCAGCATTAACCATTGTTACCCTTATCGCACGGTATTTGCCAATGCGTGTCAGCAATAGTTTATTCAAATAGCTATTTCTCAAATGTCTCTCAGCTCGCGTCCGCTTTTAAGGTGTCACAAGCTTATGCAGTGCCTTTATTTGCGGTCCCTAATGGGGGTGCTCAGTGCTTTACCCATATGTTTTCATGTTAACACAAGTATTGCTATATAAGGAATGTATATCGTGTAATGTTAAAGTATGGCCGAGATTTGCCTGCTTATTTTTTAACCCATATCTATTTCAAGATGTCTTCTAAGGGTTGAAGAGACAAACTCTAAAAAGTGAAGTATAGGGTCTTGTGAATAAAGTTAAGTGGATTGTGAAATGCATGGCGTAGTGTAAGTTATATAATGTGTAATAGTTTACCTGGAAACTCCTAATGGCGGACGTTTTCCCGGCGGATTGCAATTTATTGTTGACCCACTGCACTATCTCCTTCTCTATGATCGGGTTGCCGGTGTTCGCGAGCCGTGTTAGTACAGACAAAGTGTATGCTCGCATCAATTGCCAGATCAGGGCTGGAAAGAATATAATTTAAGATTATAATTTATTAGTACCGATATATTACCTGATTTTAACACTAATTAATTTGTATTAGAGGCGCGAGTGCTTAGCGCGTTCGGCTGCGATCTTAGAAGTTAAGCACCTTTCGCAGTGGTCGGTCATTGGATGGGTGACCAAAAAATTATTGTCTTGAGCTCCTCCATGCTTTGGAAGGCACGTTAAGCAGTTGGTCCCGGCTGCATCTGCTAGTTAGCACCTATGGCCCAAACTCCTTATTCCACTCATAGGAAAGGCCTATGCCCCAGCAGTGGGGACATTAATAGGCTGATAATGATGAATTTGTATTAAAACTGTTTGACACAGAAATCAACTATCATCAGCTAGTCGACGATATTGAACTTGAATTAAATGTATCTTATTAATTGATTTCGTATTGACACAGTAACAATATAATATTTTATTAATATTGCTACATAATTTAACGCTGTGAAGTTCTTTTCGCCTATTATTCTCCACAGATAAAAATGTCCAAAACAGGTTGCAACGGAAAAAATTTGGACGATTCAAAAGAGGTTTCGCATGTTTCCAATTTGTATAAATAAATTTTGTCTTTTGACTTTGACTTGACTTTTGAGTATAAATTAGGAAAGAAATACAAATTACTAATTTTGTATAAAAGAAGAATTACACCACGAATTACATATAAAAATATATCTATAATTAGGTCGATGTAAATGAACTATAATATATGTTTATATATCTATACTAGCGGCCCGCCCTCGCTTCGCTTCGGTGTAGAGCTGAAGTGTAGACTTCAGTTTTTGTTCTCAGGCTTGTATTATACACAATGACATTCATCTATGATTCTTCTTATACCTGCATGCAAAGCCTCAGCCCGATCGGTTTAAAATTGACAAAGTTTCATACAAACTTTCATTCCCTATTTTATCTCTTTGGGGGTAGAATTGACCAAAATCCTTTCTTAGCGGATGCCTACGTCATAACATCTACCTGCATGCCAAATTTCAACCCGATCCGTCCAGTGGTTTGGGCTGTACGTTGATAGATCACTATGTCAGTCAGTCATCTTTGAGTTTTATATATATAGAAGATGTTAGTGTTACAGTAGCGTTGTCCTCGTTGATGTCGGCCCAGTTCTACCACGTAGTTGCAGTTTTCTAGGCGTTCCATGAACTATATAATTATGTATATGTGTCTATATATCTATATGTACCGAGTGTTAGAGTAGCGTTGCCCTCGTTGATGTCGGCGCCTGCGATCCCAACGAGGGAGAACCCGAGCCGGCGACCCAGTTCTACCGCGTAGTTGCAGTTCTCGAGGCGTTCCATGAACTTGCGTAGCTTTGAAAACTGACGATGAACCTACAAACACATACAACCATTAGTTATGGTGAGATACTTAGTAGTGTAAAATATTTATCGAATATACATATAAGCCTCCCTCACAATAGTGTTGATGTATACATCAATACATATTAATATATATATTTATCAACCGTTAAATATAACTAATAAAAAAAAAATGGATGCGTGTAACTTATGTACGCGCGTGAGAAGTTATACTTCTTTAGCATCATTAAAAATATTTTTTAATTGCATGCAAATAATTAATAATTACAATAAAATAATAAAAGGACTGGAAAAGGATAGTTAACACAGTCAATTAAGTTCAGTTTTAATTTGAAAAATTAAATAAATATTCAAAATATTCAATTAAAATCACTACTGAATTTAAGTTATTAGTCCATATGTAATTAGCACTTGTAAGTAACTAAAACACGTTGTGTATATATAGAAACTAGAAACATGTGGATAAATATTATAAATATGAAAACAGTGATCAGAGGCGACGAGCGTGCCAACATTGTTTTTGACAACGCGATCATCTTATGGAGCTCCGTGGATCGTTCAAAGTACCTTTCGAACAGATGTCTAATAATGGTGGATTATTAACCACTAAGTGGTTAATAATCCACCATTATTAGACACTAACATTCATAACGCGCCCGCGGCCAACTTCATGGTGTTACTATTGTGTTACAGTGATGCGCGCGCATCTCGAAATTTCACTCACATGATTTTTTCATAACGCGCCCGCGGCCAACTTCATGCTGTTACTTTTAGGTTACAGTGATGCGCGCGCATCTAAAAATTTCACTCTCATCAGTTTTTCATAACGCGCCTAAAGAAGTATAACTTCAAAAACTCATATATTCGATAAATATTTTCAAACAAATGAAATAAAAACATTGGGCGGCCGCTAGCGGATTATACAAATGTCGTACCTTCTTCCAGTCGACGATGCCAGGTTTGATGATGTCGTAGAGCTGGAAGATGACCAGCCCGTCCGTGAGGTCGGAGTACAGCCAGTTCACGTGAGGCGCCACGCCCATGGAGTTCATCCAGTTGCGGTATGCTATGAACAATAACGTACAATGAGATACTTGTTCTTGCAATAGGTTTTCACGCACATCACTCATTAAATAAAACTAGTTTTTACGGGTTAGATGTACTAAATTTATTTATTTATTGACGTTGCGCAGCCTTTTCAGGTCTGCGTCATTATTGAGACGACAAGGGGGTGAAAAGGGGGAGGGGGGGGGGGGGTAGAAGTTTGTACGGAAACCCGATTTTTCCACGCAGAAGAAGTCTCGGGTATCCACTAGTATAGAAACCTATATAACGATAAAAGACAAATACAAACTATTAAGGTCTCAGTAGCATAATGAGGATCAATACTAGGTCTGCAAATCAACTCAAAATCAACATCACATAAGCTTTTTAATTAAAATACTTTTTAAATCATCGAAATCGGTTCATTCTTTGCGATTTTATAACAAATTTTATGGCAGCCAATATTCACCGGCGGCCGAAAATGTGTGACGTCACAGAGCTCGATCGTGGTTCTCTCCCAGTCGAACTTCAGTAGCTTCTCTACGCACGCTCGCGCCCGAGCGCTAGAGCTCTGTGACGTCAAAGCCACCACTCGGCCAGTCGAAAATTTGTTTAGTAATTTGGTCATAACTTCGTCAATATTTGTCGGGGAACAAAAATTTAACCACTGTATTTTATGGAATCCCTAGCTCTATAAATCTGCATTCTCAACTAAAATCGTCACGGATCCTCATTGGTTAGTGCGTCCGTCCCGAATTCGAATCCCGTCTGATGCCTGGACCGCGTGGAATTTTTTCAAGTAATATTTTCTTCGGATTGACGACCTGTGTGGCCGAGTGGTTTGTATGCCGAGTTTCATGGTGTCGCCGACTCGAGAGGTACCGGGTTCGAATCCCGGTGGGGGCAGATGTTTGTATGATGAATACGAGCATTTGTACTCCAGTCATGGATGTTTAATATGTATTTCTACATAAATATAGTTATGTATGTACAGTACATGTATTCTAACCGTTACCCTAGCATTCCATAACACAAGCCTTATAGTGCTTACTTTGGGGTTAGGCTAATCGGTGTGAGTGTTGGAAATATTAATTTATTTATTTAGATACTAACTCTTTTCCTCTCTGGTCTCGTCCAACTGATGGTACTGCTGGTCCGTACTCCGGCGCTGCAGAGCCGGGTGCTGGTTGAAAAGATTGGCCACGAAAGCCAGATTCAGTTTGTAAACGCCGCCTACAACGTCCGCGGGACTCACAAACGCCCGGCAACGGAGACGGGCGGCTTGTTGCAGCATTATCTCCGCGCGACGGAGAAGATCCGTTTCCTGTGCAAGAATAAGGTATTAGTTAGTAACTGTCATAAGATATACTAGCGGCCGCCCCCGACTTCCTCCGCGTTAACTTTTAGTTGTTTATCTAAAATAAAAGTAGGTTTAGTTATCCTTATTACATCAGCTACCTGCCAAAAAAAGTCCCGTCAAAATCGGTCCAGCCATTTCAGAGATTAGCCGGGTCCAACAGACAGACAAACAAAAATTGTAAAAAATGTTATTTTGGTGTATGTACCGTATATATATATTCATATACATGTAGTAAAAAGCGGTTATTTCAATATTACAAATAGACACTCCAATTTTATTTATACGTATAGAATGTATAGATTGTTTTAAACATTCATCGTCACTCACATTATAGTAATTTATGTTTTTTTATCGGGATTGTTACCATGTAAGTACCTTGTTTTAAGCGAGATTCCGATATTTCGACACAGTTGGAAGCGCTTGTTACTCCGTGACCATGGCGCTTGAAACAGTGCCGAAATATTGAAAACTCACTCTAAAACAAGGTACTTAGTAACAATCTCGTAAACAACATAAATCATCAGATAGATTTGTCTTTTTTGGAGAAAAAAGGCGAAGGAAACTCTACAATGTCAAAGAAATATAAGCTCTTCCCTACTGTTTTTGCTAATAGACCAGGGTCGATAATTTTAAAAATGGTGAAAAGTGAAAAAAAATTATAGTAGGATGAAACCCATTAGAAAAGGTAGAGAATATAACAAAAATGAAAGGAAAAATAAATTACGGGCGATCTGAGGTCGGGAAGGGGGAGGGGGTGAGTTTTTAAGGGTAAAAAATGGTTAATCTCGATTTCCGGTAAAACTGCAAGTCCTATGAAAAAAAGTTAAACGGCAAAGTTGTAGGTAATAAAAAGATCTACAACTTTTGTATCGACACTTTTTTCACATAACCTCAAAATTTATGTGAAAAATGCAAATAACCGAGTTTTTGGTTTTTGATTTTTATTTTTTGCAAAAAAAAAATATTTTTTCACCAAATTTGGTGAAAACTTACCTTTGCATGTCCCAAACATACAATAATTTTTTTGATTTAAAATATTCATTTTTTCACCTTATTTTGACTTAATATCCAAAAAGCACCCTTATTTTCAATCGAAAATTCTCACGTCAAAATATCTGCTTTTTTAAAAAAGGTGGTGTGTTTTTATTTGTTGAAATCTCTACTCTTTGATGGTATAAAAAACAATATACACTACTATGGTAAATGTTCTCAGAAACTGCAAATTAATAATGATAATAACTCGAATCCGAAAATCCTATTTTTAATACCTACTTATAACAACTATTTTTGCATGTTTTATGGATTTGTAATTTTTCTGTTTATCAATATAACATGAAATCTTACGTTTTTCGAGTAATTAAAGTGTAAATTTAAGTGTAAATAAATAGTTCAAAAATATACATAATGATTCAAATCAATTTTTCGGATTGGAGTTTTTTTCATTATTAATTTGCAGTTTCTGTGAACATTTACCCTAGTAGTGTATATTTTTTTTATACCATCAGAAAGTAGAAATTTCAACAAACAAAAAACACATCAACTTTTTTAAAAAAAACTACAGATATTTTGACGTGAGAATTTTCGATTGAAAATTAGGGTGCTTTTTCGATATTAAGTCAAAATAAGGTGAAAAAATGAATATTTTAAATCAAAAAAAATACTGTATGTTTGGAACATACAAAGGTAAATTTTCACCAAATTTCGTGAAAAAATAGTTTTTTTTTGCAAAAAATAAAAATCAAAAACCAAAAACTCGGTTATTCGCATTTTTCACATAAATTTTGAGGTTATGTGAAAAAAGTGTCGATACAAAAGTTGTAGATCTTTTTATTACCTACAACTTTGCCATTTAACTTTTTTTCATAGGACTTGCAGTTTTACCGGAAATCGAGATTAACCATTTTTTACCCTTAAAAACTCACCCCCTCCCCCTTCCCGACCTCAGATCGCCCGTAATTTATTTTTCCTTTCATTTTTGTTATATTCTCTACCTTTTCTAATGGGTTTCATCCTACTATAATTTTTTTTGGTCTCAAAAATTATCGACCCTGGGGCCCAATTCTCGCGACGTAGATATTATATCGGCTTCGAGATAATATCGAAAGTAGGGATATCTATTGAAAATATCTACTGATGGTAAAAAATGCTATTCTCGTGGATTTTCGATATTCCAATGATATTATATCTATCGTAGATATTCTTTCACTGCCGAATGCGTTCCGTTTTTCTCGATTAAGTTAACATCATAGTCTATATAAAATAATAATAAATTAGAGCAGAATTTTACAAGCAACAAAATGATATTTTATGAATTCCATTCATATTAAATATGAGTATACATTTTTTGAGTATAAGAAATCTCAACTTTACCTAAATTGTATGCGTTTATAATTTCAACGTTATGTATAATGAAACGTCAATATTATTTAAGATTCTCCCTTTTCAGGGAAGGCAAAGGGAACAATGCCCATAAAGCCTAGTCTTTAGTAGAAGATTAATATCTTCTTTTTTTTACATTCGAATGTCGGTGTGACGCATTCTAATGTTTCTTGGAGTGTTTGGCACGAAATTTATGGAGTTGGCTTGTTCTCTAAGCTTCTGTGAGGTATTCAACACTACAATAAAGTTCTCGAGTCCACTTGACCGGAATAGCGTATATTTTAAAGATTCCACTAATTCTTCAGTTGCGCAGACGGTTGTAACACCAAATCACACCAATTTTATTTCACAATATCCACTATGAACGAATTTTAGAATAATTAAAATAAGATGCCAACCGCACTCGCAGAAATCCCGCCAAAACTCCGTATTGTCGATTCTGGCATGATTCTCTAAACCTAAACGTAAATTTGACAACAGTGTATCCTTGTCATTCTCCATACAGAATGAAAAGGAGAGACTGATGTTAAATTTAGTTCTAAGTTTAGAGAATTGTGTCAGAATCGATACCAATGTCATTCATAACTTTAAAGATTTTTAACCAAATTTTTGTTTAAACGTAATTTTTTTAAGAAGTCGGCGTCCCTCATTTCAAATGGGCCCTCTTGCTCTCACAACGGCGGCGCCTTAGCACAGCAGCAGCAATCACGTCATTTATTAAATCATTGACGAAAACATGAATCAACTCATCCATCGTTAATATAAACTGGTGTCGATTCTGGCACGATTCTCTAAATCTAAACTTAAACTTGACAACAGTGTTTCCTTGTCATTCTCTATACAGAATGAAAAAGAGAGACTGATGTTAAATTTAGTTTTAAGTTTAGAGAATAACGCCAGAATCGACACCTACTTCTTTATTTACTAATTATTTATGAAGGCAGTTAACAACGTCTTGAGGTAACAATAATTGGCAATGACACACGACAACACAACAAATAATAGGTAAAAAAAGTGGAAATAACAAGATTGACATGCCAAGATCCATAGATATTTATATATCGAAGGCTCTTTACCAGTCGATGTATGTCTACTGATCATCCGTAGATAAATATCTATTGCGACATGGTGAGAATAGGGCAAAAAGGTTTTCCTTCGATAAAAGCCAGATCATTCGATATATATCGAAGGTGATATAATATCTATGCCGCGAGAATTGGGCCCCTGGTCTATAAGCGCGGGGATCACGCATAAGTGCAAAACTATACTTATCTGTCGCGTTGTGTTGTGACGCATTAAAGAGCTATCTGTTTCATACATTCAGTATGGTTAAAGGGAGAACGGCGTATATAGATCGCGACACATGAGTATAGTTCTAACCGTACTAAATATATGAAACCGATCGCTTCACAACACGATATATTTCTGCATTTATGTACGTTTTGGCTCGCGCGGCAAATAGATCCTCTATCCATCCTTGGGCGCGATCTGCTTCAGGAGATGGGAGTATATCTCGGAGTCGGCCACGTCGTGCTGAAAGTTGGTGCAGCTGATGAGGTCACTCACCCTGAGCGCGTCTAACGTGACCCCAGCATCCTCGGGCGCGATCTGCTTCAGGAGATGGGAGTATATCTCGGAGTCGGCCACGTCGTGCTGGAAGTTGGTGCAGCGGCGAGTGACACCGGCTTGTTGCAATTGGTGATTCACCCAGCGGAGGAGGATCGCTTCTGGCGATAGGGCGAGGAGGTCCTCGATGCGTTCCTTTGGAAGAGAATAAAATTTGGTTAGATTATTGGACGTTATGAAAAATAAAGCACATACACATTATTAAAAAACTCATAGATTTGCCAATGCACAAAAATATTTTTAATAAGCATAATTATAATTGAGCGCCGCCGGAACAAAGTTTTTTATTTCAAGATCATGACACTTGCAATTGTGCCGAAATATCGGGGACTAGCAAAGAACACGGTACAAAGTAGCAATTCCGCTAATTCCTTTGATTTTTTTCAAAAATATTTAAATGATAAAATAGCACATTAATTTCGATCAATGCATAGAATAAAGTTACACATGAAAATGGTACCAAATTGCTTCTATTGTACTTTAAAGGTTAGACTTCTTATTATACCTATATTTTACAAGTAAAAATATTTTGCTTTGGTAGTCTGCAGCCTTGTTAATCTTGTTATGCGCAAGACCGGCCGCGAATGGGAGCACAATTCAATTTAAAATATTTGATTCTAACTTTTTAAATAAATTTGTAATAACAATCGGAATCCTCAGAATTTCGTATGTTAAAAATAGGCAAATATATCCAAGTAAATATTAATTAAATATGTAGTTTAGGTACTTACTTCATCATTGAGCAATTCCGTGAGTCCGGGGCAGTGTTCCAGAGTGATCTGGTTGAAGAGACCGATCCTGATGATTTGCCATAGGAGACCCAGCACCAAGTGCGGTTTGCCTGAAAGAAAACGAAATAGAAAAATACGGCATTGGTTACTTGGTTAAATCAATTTTCGGAATCAATAATGACCAGCTCCGAAAAAAACAGTCGTCCGACGAAATCACTAATTATGTTAGTAGCTAATGCTTTTGGGTTTAAAGCATGTGCACTAAGCAATTACTTAGAATGATCCATACAATGTTGACCAAAACTGTCAAAAGCCAAGAAAAGGAAGAAAATTAACAATAATCTTCTTCAATATTAACATAAATCTTTACAAATTATCTTAATATTACGAAATTCTCCTCTAAAAGTTCTATAAAAAGTCAGCGAGAGCATGTCACCTTAAACATATTAACCTTATTATTCTTAAATAAATCTGTTTTATTTAATGAGTGATGTACGTGAAAACCTAAGAAACTTTATATTCTTTTCATTCCTAAAAATAATGCGAGGTAAAACCACAGGGCACCTCTACATTTTATAAAACCTAAACCCCGTTTATTTCAAATATGTCTCTATAGTACGGAATTATCTATATTTTTTTCTTTTTTTATGAATGTGCAATTATATGAAATTTTAACTTAAGTACCTTACTTCCAACAACAATGTAATATAGTTAAGGAGTCCCCTTTCTTTTGAAAAAGTATACAATAATTTTAATTTGTTTTTACCTTTAGCCAAGTCGTGAGCATCTATGTTGACGATGTTGCACCCGATGGCCTGCGAGGAGACCAACGCCAGCGTTAAGTTCTCGTGCTTCGTGTACAGGGTCAAGTTCTTCTTGTTTATGGCTCGCTCGTCTATGGTGTCCGGGCACGAATGGTTTATGACTTTGCTGCGAAAGAAGTGAAAAATGATCGGGCATTGATTTTGATATATCTGTTTTTATATGTTGATTGTTCAAAAGAGCACCTAATGTGATGCGTATGAAGAGTCAAGTTTCGTAGAAATCTAATGTGCGGCTGAGAAACATGCTGCAACAACCTTGCCAATACTTTTACTTTTTTCGGGGTCCCTTTGATTTTATACTTGGTAAAGGGATTAGCTTATGTCTCATTGACAATGGCTCCTTTGTGGGAAGCTCCAACTTACAGAAGACGCATCTTCTAAGCTTCTCTAGACGGGCACCCGATATGTAATATCCACTACATCCAATCTTTCACATAAGAAGCTATATTATGCAAATTTGAGATAGATTTGAAAAGTTCAATGGAGTAGAGGTAAACGCGTTTGTTTTGGAATCGTGGAAGTTAAGCAACTGTTGCAATGGCCGTTGTAAAATGGGTGCCCAAATGAAAGACAGTATTCGATTATCTAAGATGTTGCTTGGAAACCAATAAAAATGTCGTTAAAACCCATTTTCCCCATATATCAACATAATATATTATCGGCAACGCCATCTACTTTCTAAGTGTCGAAACCTAAACACATTATGCGAAGTTTGCAAGCCATCAAAGATTCACTTACAGTTACTAAATGGCGCTGTAGTAACAGCCATACCGTACTTAATCATACTAATGAGTGGGCAAAAAATTACAGGCGTGCTACGACAGGCACATTAAGCAATTGATTCCGGCTGCATCTGTAGTCTTTAATCCGTCATGGGTGTAGGTCATGGACTATTCTCCAAATTCCATCTATGGGAGACGGCTGTCCCCCCGCAGAGGAGTCATCATTATACTGATGATGTATACCAATTCACTTACCACAATATGAGACCATCTTTTACTTTTCTTAGACCATCTATACTATCATATATGAATCTATACTGAGATCGCGTGGTGGGTCAAGGTCAATTTTCTTCATTCCATCCTATTACTGTCGAACCCGCCGGAGATAAATACCAAACTACTCACCGCAATATCAGGCCGTCCTTCAGTTTCTCATAGAGCTGCTGGCCCTCAGGGTCGATGGGTAGCAGGCGTTTGAGGTCGGGGTCGTGCTCCAAGGTTACTATAAATCCCGCCGGAGATAAATACCCAACTACTCACCACAATATGAGGCCGTCCTTCAGTTTCTCATACAATTGCTTGCCTTCTGCGTCGATGGGTAGCAGGCGTTTGAGGTCGGGGTCGTGCTCCAGGTTACTGTTGATCCAGCCAGAGAACGCCATCTGTTCCTCCAGGCGGACCGAGTGGGTTGTGCCTGTTGAATTAATCATTATAATAACTCAGATCATTGAAATAAATCTAACAAAGTTAAAATTATAATAATAAACTTTATTTATACCATAAAGGGTAGCATTATGTCTTAGTTACTCGGGTTAGTGATATTTTTTGTATTGCAAGCCTCTACAAGCTATGGTGGCCGCTTACAAACAGGCGGGCTATAAGCTTGTTTGCCACGCATTTAACATAAAAAAGACACAACATAATTATAGGTGATTCCATGCAACTGTTAGACTTTTTTTCCACTTGTAGGAATTTTCTTAAATCTTAATTTAACTAAAACTAGGTTAATCACATACAATGGTGTCAAATTGACATTGACATTTTGCCATTCTTTTAGTTACTTAGTGGACGCCCTTTTCGATCAGACAAACGCGAAGAACAGTGAAGTTTGCAGTGAACATTGCATTTGGACCTTACCATCACTGGATGCTTCGCTCATGCCGCCCAGATGTTCCAAATTTTCTTTTTTACTGACGGCCTGTTTGAATGTGCTCGACACCTGTAAAAACCAGAAAAACAATTTAAAATATTCCCTTATCTGTGACATAAATATATATTTTACGAGGCAGCCATAAAAGAAGTGTAACGTTTTAGAGTTCATGAATGTGTGTGCGTTTTCTTTTTACCGTGATAACTTATAAAGGTTATGTAGGGTAGCATAAGAATCCTTACATCTTTGCGAGTGACACTAGCTGGCTACGAACTTGAGGAAATTAATGGGTTGGCGGAGGTAGACCGCCATTTTCATAAATAAAAACTACTATGTATATTTATTTTCATTTAAGCATTCAAGCAATGGACTTTCTTATCTAAAGAAACGTATTCGTCATCTCAGCTTACTAAAGTCCACTGCTGGGGATCTGACCTTCTATAAGGAGAAGTTAGGCAAAACGGGGCTTGTCTCCTTGTACCCAGCGCTGTTTGGTGTGTGCTGAAAACTGCTGTTGCATCTGGGCCCAACGACGTGACATGACTTCCGAAACACAGGCGCTCTGGAGATATACCCTTTTAGTCACCGATATTACGTCCATACATTGTAAAAGTTAACCTCCATGAGCACAACCAGATAGCCAGATAGCTAGAAACCGTTGCATCATAGATCTCCAGAGTCCAGACTTGATTTGAACCACATAAAGATATCCATTTTATTAGTACTTACTCATTTTGTTTAAACGGGATTTACCCTACCCAATTTTAAGGGCCCAATCGAAAGGGTGGACGTGGCCGCTAGCTACGGAAAGCAATTATTATACCAGGATCGGATCGAAGATCGGGTCCCCTAACACACATTACAACACCCTTAGTCAGGGTAAGGCTCCCTTAAAATTGGGTAGTGTAAATCCCGCATTAACAAATTGTTAAAAAAAAATCGAGATACCATAGTCACATTTCCAATCCGCAAGGCACTTACAAGCCTCCTTCATTTTCAATCCATCACTTGCATACAGTCTTACAATTTACGATTAATTCAGACATTTGATTTTTAATTTATTGCATGGTACACAATACGACTTACTATCAATTCGAGTTCTAATTTGCATACATAATGTGTGCATAAAAAATATCGAGAAGAGCATTGACCGCCGACCAAAGTTGCGTTGCTCACTCTCGTATAACTTAAGTGGGCGTCATCTATTTGACCCGGCCAATGGATTATTTTATTGCTTTATTGACTGACTCGTGACTGACTTAATCCACACTAAATGATGATTATTGATTCTAATTTATTGGTTGTTATCATGATTTATGGGAACTATTGCCGATGAATACCGGGACATGCATGGCATTACAAAATAAGTATTATTGCTTGAGCTTGCGCAATATCGCTATGAAGAGAAAAAAAAAATTAGATGGATGGGTGGTCGTATAATAAGTTAGCAGGATCTTTGTTCGCGGCCTTATTAATACTGTTTTTTTTATATATAAATAGGTACGATAGATAAGTCCATCTCACTTGATGTTAAATGACTGTGGTGGAGTCCAGGCGCGAATGCAGCTAGTATAGCCGTTCGTTCTTCGTGTTTACTTTATCACTACTAGTAGAGTACAACTACAATAGTGGCCCTTCCTCGGTGCGTTTCGGCGTTGGCTATAGCTTTTGTTCTAATATATAATAAACGCTCACTATTGTGGCTTTCTATTAGTAAAAGAAATTTTCAAAATCGGTTCAGTAGATCCAAAGATTACTCCTAGCTTAGTTTTCTACGTTAGCGGCGAACGCGCAAGGAAAGTTCATCCCTTTCTGATGCATTTTAGATTTATTCGAAAGTTCCATCTATACACTCCAAGGGTATAAATCATGTCACGTGTAGGACGCAATTCTACTTATTATAATGTTAAAAAGTGAGAAATGAGTGTATAATAAATGCTTATACATCCAACCCACTGAAGCTCTATGTAGATAGGTGGGACCCTGGAGATGTATACAGGCTCAGCTCAGCAGTTACATGCTTAAAAAATAAATTTTATATCATAACTTTAATTGTTGTTTCTTCTTTCAAATGTTTAATACTTGTCATTACTTGTAAAGGTATTCATTTGACATTGTGGGTTGCCTATATAATGCGAACAGACGGCGCTGCCTTGCAGTTCAAGAAAGGTTAGAAAGATTTCGACACGGCCATCAGGGTCGCGGTAGCATAATTAGACAGTGCATTCGCCCGGATAGCGAAGGGTGTTTCAAGTCCCGTCTGCTGCCTGGTCCGCGTGGTTTTTTTTCTAGTTATATTTTCTTTAGATTTAAACATAGAGCAGTTACATGCTTAAAATATATATAGGTATATATATATATATATATTATGTTACCTGTTGTGCCTTAAGGTTCGCGCACAGCTCCTCGAACTCTGTGAGCGACATGCCATTCTTGCGAGCGTCGCCATTCACGTTACCGTTGACACCGCGTTGCTTCGAGCCGTTGTCATAATACTCTTCGATCATGCATCGCACCTGCAACAAAGCCGTATCGTATGGGAATGTGAAACTTGTCTATTTATATCAACCTAACTTACAACTACCTACCATAAGAGGAAAATTTACTAATGCGATAGGGAAGACCAAACTTATTTTAGAAGACACCTACACATACATTCCTTTACAACTATGTACATAACATTCTAATTTAAATTATAACTACAAATAAATAATGCAACCCTTGTCACTCAAAGAGGTCAATTTCCTCTGCTATGGAGTTAATGATACCCATTGATTGATTGATGATACTCATTACCTATGATGGTCCATGCTTATGAGAACTTGTTTGGTTGTGGCAAATAAACACAGCGTCTAGCTGCTAGCAGATTGTAAGATTTCACCACACCATTTGGATTTTGACTTGTCTTTCTTATTTTAACATTACAGCCATTCGTTCTCCAGTCATGGATGTTTAATATGTATTCCTATATAAATATACTTATAAACTAATGTATCAGTATAATATGTATTCTATCCGTTATCTCTAGTATCCCATAACACAAGCCTACAGTACTTACTTTGGGGTTAGGCTAATCGGTGTGAGTGTTGGAAATATTTTTATTTATTTATTTTACTATGATGAAAAGTTTCTTTGTGTAGACTGAATAGATTGACATGGTTTTAAGAATAGAAAATAGTAAGGATAATATTCGCAAGTTGCGTTAAAGTTTAGGAGTTTGGGGAGAATGGCTCATCCCTAGATTGAGTTGTAATGTCACACTCCTTGCCCAGTCTTATCTAGGTAAACACTATTTTCCTAAGCAGAAGAACTCTAGGTCCTTATTTACTTTAGTCACGAAACGTGTAACGCCGCTAGGGTTGTTTTTTTTGTCTTTATTAGGGTAAACAAACAATGATACAATCTTGTCACATTATAAACTAATACTATCAGTGTACTAATTGCATCATCCACTACATTTACCACAGAGTTTCTAACAGTAATTAGCATTGGGAGACTGTATACATTTAACTTAAATTTACTATTAATTTATTTTATTTGCCTATTATACTTAAATATGTAAATACATACTCTATAATACAATTTCCGATTTCTGATTTATTTACTTAAAAGTTTTAAGTACTTTTCTCTTAAACGAAGTAACAGGGATCGTAAAAATGTCAATTTCATTAAATTTGTCGTTGTAAGTCTGGGCAAGCCGATACAAGGGGGATCGTTTGCCTGCATTTGTACGACATTTTGTGTTGTCGTTACTCAGGCCAATGGCAGCTTCCTTCCGCATGTGATGCTGTTCTATCCTTGTCTTATGATAGCGATTGTGTGCTAAAGAAAGCGCTTATATAAAACTAACTTATTCGCGAAAAAACTCAGCCGGAACAACAACATGATGCAGAATATAGAATACTTCGTTTCGCTGCTAAAAATCTAAATCTAAAGGTACAATATCTTACAAATTAAAATCAATAATTTATCTTTCTATCCTGTGTGATGCTCTAAATAACCCGTTAGCAAATAATGATAAATTTCAATTCCATGTTACAAATTGTGTCCTGTGTGCAGTGTAATCATGGTCATAACATTATCGCTTCTAATTCTTTACAATAAAAGCGTCATCAATGTCATATTGTGCACACCAAGTGGCCTTGACAGTATGTAAGCTCACAAGATTCCAACTCTTGGACTTAGTTCTATAATTCGGAATCCCAAGCGACGGATTACGACCGCCTTTGTAACATAAATCTGTAAAGCATATGAAAGCATTGCATTGTATGTAAATCATATAGTTCAAAGTATTTGCGTTTGGCATTATGATTCAACAGTAGTGCGTGCGTCGTGGGCAGCTCATTAGGTTAACTACTGTCAATTTGCTAATGAACCCAAATGGGGTGGATGCGATTGAGACGTTTGTATAATAGAAATAGTACGAGTGCCTAATTAGATTATTACTTTGCCAACAAGTAAACACAATTTAATTTAGTAAATAGGCCAATTTGTTTTTCGCTAAAATAGTTGCAAGCCTCATGGGGAATAGTCATATACCTTATTACCATAACGCATTCAAATTAGTAGTAATAAGTGCCTATAATTATCTAATTAATTAAAATATAAATAGCATGTTTTGAATTAAGAAGTTGTAATCATTAAATTGTTATTTAATTTATTAATGTTATATTGTCGTGCCCTACTTGGTCCATAAAGTTCCATCCAATAATTGTAACATCTTTTGACGACCTCCGTGGCCGAGTGGTTTGTACGCCGGGTTTCATGGTGTCGCCTACTCGAGAGGTTCCGGGTTCGAATCCCGGTGGGGGCAGATGTTTGTGTGTTGAATACGAGCATAGTTGTACTTCAGTCGTGGATGTTAAATATGTATTTCTATATAAATATACTTATATATGTACTGTATATGTATTCTTATCCGTTACCCTAGTATCCCATAACACAAGCCTTACAGTGCTTACTTTGGGGCTAGGCTAATTGGTGTGAGTGTTGGAAATATTTATTATTATTTTTTATGAAGTTATGGAGAGCTATAAAGATGATTGATTGACCATAAAAAAGTTAGACCTGCGTTGTGTTCAAACAAGTTTAAGAATAAATGTCATAGGATTTTCTCTACACAAGGTTTGAACCCGTCTCGTACTTTTTGTAGTAAGACCCATCGTATTTATGTTTAACGAGTTGCATTGGCATGCAGATACCCGCGTAACGATAAGCGGCCATCATTCTAACTAAAATTATAACACGCAAGTGAATTTGATACGCTTTAACGTCTGAGCCTCTGTATCGATTATGAGAATGAAGAGACAGATTATGAGATAGATGTTATAGTTATAGCCTCGGGCTATAAAGACTTGCGATAAATATTTTTTCATTTCATTTCGATACGGAATATCATTCTGACTGCATCCATCTGCACTCATGTTATTTGTATGGCTACATTGCAAATAAAATTGGGCCCTTCACTGAAGCCAAAATACAGGATGAACTTCCTAATTTGGCTGAGGATGTCTATACGTACTTTGTGTGAAATAATGGCCTTAGTTTTAACATATTTAGATGAATATCACCATGTACAATTTTTTACAAATAGATATTATTATTATCCCTATGTCCATACCCTTAATTATATAATACATATATACACTCTAGATCCCGTATTAATTACCGTATTATCTACAACATATGGTAGAAATGCTCGTCGTTACACGCACACACATTCACTGGTTTTGGTTTAGTACAATCTGAAATTACACACATTTCGCGAAACAGCGGTTTTCTTTGCGCGATTTATTTGAATTTGCTCTATTTAGACGTACATATACATATAATAAAATGGTAGGAAATTCAAAACTGTACATTGAATATTTTTTTAAAGAATACTTGGGGTGTGATCTACAATCGATACCGAAGCCAAAAATATAGTTTTTTGAATTTTTGTCTGTTTAGTATGTATGTCCGGGATAAACTCAAAAACTACTGCATAGATTAACTTCAAAGGCACGAATATTATTAAGAAGTCAGGTCAACATATAGGCTATATATTCACTATCACCTACGGGGAACGAGCAGTAAACCTTTATTTCTATCTAACTCTACGCGTACGAAGTCGCGAGCGGCCGCTAGTAAATAACAATCAAGGTCCATACATACATACATACTTTTGATCTGAAGACTAGCCTACCTCTGCCTCGGGAAAACCTGGGATGTCATAATGAAGGCGGATAGTAACTAGAGGCGGGTTCAACAACGCAATCGTGTGCCTTATGAGCAATGTATTAAGAGTTAAGAGTGCTTCACTATCAAAGACATTTTTAACATTCTCAGCGCTTTTACTCACTTTCCATTGGGGAATTTTGTATCCAACGCTGTCCAGCGCGTCTTTGAGTTCTTTGAGGTCGATGTAGCCATTTCCGCTGGTGTCCAACTGTAACAAAATGAAATAATAAATATTAGTAATGACACGAAAGTAGTAGTAATTCAGTATGAGCAATGATTAACCCAGAAAAGAAAATCTCAGAAGGGTTCAACTGCTTATTTTCTCCCGCGGAAAACACAAGTGAAAGCAATAGATAAGGTAGTTTCCGAAATTATTCAAGCCATTGGCTAGAAATCTTTAACTAAACTAGTGTTTGCGAAACACGGCATATATCTAACTAAATACCAAACAATAGTATCTTTGAGGTGCTATAGTATTATAGAGACTTAAGTGCCATTATTCTCAACTCAAAATAAATCATAGGAAGGACGGACTAATTGAATTAGATTATTTATTAAAAGAAATTGCTATCTTGCATGTAAAAAGGCAAGCTAGAGGAAAATAAAAATTTTATAAGTGCATATAAGTTCCCGTCCTTTATCTTATATGCAACTGGCTAGGCTAGATTAGGTTTGATTAAGATAAATACAGGCCTAATCTGTTTATTTTACACATTGCCGGTGGGCCAGCCGGTACTCTATAGAATCCTTAGGAATTGTATGGCATACATTACCTAGGCAAAGTACACAATGGTGAATAATAATTATTTATAATATTTCATACATGGCCTGGACTCCTCGGGCATTATACATTGCCTAGATATTGTACAGAATACCTGAATGAGACAGATTGCCCGTGGTATATAAAAAAAAAAGAAGTGAACGAAAATAAAATAAAGACAAGTTGTATTACTTTCGATTTTCCTACAAATGTAAATTCCAAGTTATTCAACATTACGTTAAAACAAAATAAGCTAGCGTGAAGTGTAATCGTTGCATCATAATTCGAAAGGGAAATTTATAAACTTTTGGTCTTTACACTGGCGGCCGTGAAATCTGAAACAAATTTATTCGAATGGTTTCGGCTATGAGAATGAAATGATGGGCTGCGATGAACGATCGAACTATGTATTTGTTAGATGCTCTGTAAAACATTTTCGTTCGGTAGGTTAGTGTTTAATTTATATCACACTAATATTATAAAGGCGAAAGTTTGTGAGTGTGTATATTTGTTACTTTTTCACGACTAAACGGCTGGAGCGATTTCAATAAAATTTGATTTGGAGTTAGCTGATATCTTGGATTAACACATAGGCTACGTTTTACTGCGGGAAAATATCCCTTATAAACCGCGGGTAACACGGCGGGACACAGCTAGTATTACATAATCTTCGTTTACAATTCTTTGTACAAACTGCCACATCGGCTTGAAAGTGAAATATCCTCAAAAATCTCTGATGCTTAGCATAGAAGAAGTACTAAGGAACAAATAGGAAGGATAGTAGTCATCTGATAACTTTTGTAAGTGTCGGGTTCAAGCAATTAATAATAAAAAATCTTTGGGAGGTATAATAATAAATCATGTGAAGGTTCTGGAAGACCTTAAGGGTTATGACTTTATGACTAAGAGCTATACCTAATTATTGTCATACATTTCATACACAATAAAAGTTAAACCTGCCTACTCATTTATTATTCCGATAAAAAGCAAAGGACACGAGGAGGTATCGACCTTGACGCGCCTTATACGCTCCTTAAGAGATCCTCGCACGTACATTTATGGTAATGGAGGATACATAAGTAATGCCAACTCGTGTTATCCAAAACTTTAAAATGATATGAAATATTTATTTAACAAAAAACGATGCTATTAACTACTAAGTACTAAATGTCACGAAATAAAGTTTATGTGAGACGCAGGTACTGAAATATTACATGCTATTGTTTTTAAGAAAAATATAGGAATTTTTACTACGAAATTAACTAACCATTTTTTTTATTTATTTAAGGACGACCAACAAGATATACACCAATACAAGATAACAAGATACAAGCTTCGGCGATAATTAGATGCTATCTTAATTAAAGGTCACAACCGCATGCATTACAAAACAAGGCATCGAACATTATTCTGCATAATCTTAAGTGAAATCAATAACATAAATATACCGCACAATACAAATAAAAAATATTTAATTTAAAAATTAGTACCTATACTAATGTCCTGTCTTGAAATTATGGCAATCTAAAATAATCAAAATGACTACAGCAATATTATCATCACAAAATTTCTAAATATTTTTATTTTTATATAATTACACATTAGAATTTAATTAAAATTAAAAAAGGGAGCTAATCTAATATTATCGATTACAACGTTACAACTAAACAAATAGCGATAATGAAAAGAAACGGTTATACTTCAGAGAATAAGTTTATTAGCTTTGGAATACGTTATACCGAGTATTGTACTGTAATAGGGATGATGACTATTTTTTTTCTTCGTTTATCAGTTAGAGTATCAAAAAGTATTGGACACATATTTTTTCACATTATATAAACATTGTAGAGATATATTGATTTGAAAAGTCGTATGACTTCACAATTGTCACTTAAAAGTGACGTCACGAGCCCCTACTTCCAAACTTTGACGCACTTTACCTTTGTCATTTTTTGGTTGATTGCCCAAAGAAAAAATACGTGTCCATTATTTTTTGATCATCTAACTGACGGACTAAATAGAATTTCGTTTACTTTACCCCGTCATCATGCCTATTACCCAAACGAAATTACATTATTAACAAACAAAATTCGTGCTAAAGAACAACTATCGATTGATATCGTTTCGACAATCAAACAATTAGCGCACGAATGTTTATTTAATATTATACCGGTAGATATTACCGTGCTCACTATTACTCACCGATGATGTAATCAGATTCTTATATTCGAGTAAATAGCTCGTTCATTATTTCACAATTAAATGGAATTTAGTAAAAGTACAATAACATTTTATCCTTGTATCAAAATGTTTTTCAAAGAAGTATCTTCTAGCTTGTTTGTTTTAGTAAGATTTTACCGTTCCGACGTAAGAATGTAGAATAGAATAGCTCACAAAGTGTTTGTTTAGAACCAAGTTTACTCATTTGAAACGGAATTGTTGCTGGTGCAGAATTAACACCAAAAATGTTAATGACGACACGCTCTTTTTACTTACTATGTAGTTACAAGGTCAGTCGTTGAGGCGAACATATGTGTTTCAGTCATTAGTTTAGTCGCCCGCCATTTCCATACGTATTACCGTTTTACTTCAACTTCTACAACTCATCGACCATACAAAACGCATAAATTGTTTGTATACAAATTTAGAACTATGTAACTGATTGGGGTGAGAGTACAACTATGTAACCAATTACCGAACGAACTAAGGGTGTTATGTTTATATATATACTAAATAGAGATGGGCCGACTAGCCGCCGACTAGTCGGGAAAGACGACTATTCGGCATCGTTTACAGTCGGCGATTAGTCTGCGACTATTCGGCAAAACATGCCGATTATAATCGGCACATAAAAATGAAATAAAACTCAAAACTTAGGCTTGTTTTGAATATTTAAACAGTACCTAGAGTATGTATTTAAAGTTACCTACAGTCTCAAAAAAAATAAAAAATAGTGTAACATAATACGAATTAGGAACTTAAGAATCTGTTAGTAATTCAGATACCTTAACACGATGAATATGGCACATAACAAAATAGCAATGGGTGGTGGTATTAATTGAGTAAAATCTTAAGTGCTAGCGAGTCTTAAAGAGGTCCATACGTATTTTTTTTTCTTAGCGGCAAATTGTGCTTTTGGAACATGAATATTTCGGCTCGATTTAGGAGACTCGTGTCGTGCGTGAGCAAGCCGATTAGTGACGAAATATACCGAACACCTTCCTAAGATAAGTATTAGCATGATCGGCATTGCAGAATAGTCGGCCGACTAGACGGCAATTCGATAACCGATTAGTCGGCAAATACTATAGTCGGCCTATTTCTAATACTAAATTAATAATACAATCACACAAAACAAAGAAATGTTAAGTAAATAATAAGTTTTCTATAAGGCTTTTTACATTTTCCATATAGTCAATATATAAAGATACTATCAAATGATATTTCTTAAAATATACATATCATAATATTTGATAATTTAACAATGTGTTATTTATAATTTTTATTATTTTTTTTTAAAGCATGTAACTGCTTGATGTTTAAATCTAAAGAAAATATAACTAGAAAAAAATCCACGCGGACCAGGCAGCAGACGGGACTCGAACCCGCACCCTTCGCAATCCGGGCGAATGCACTGACCAATTATGCTACCGCGGCCCTCACGGACCGCGTCGAAATTCTTTCTAGCTATTCTTAAGCTGCAAGGCAGCGCCATCTCTTCGCATTATAGATAAACCCACAATGTCAAATGAATACTTTTACAAGTATTAAACATTTGAAAGAAGAAATAGCAATTATAGTTATAATTTTTATTATTTTTTAAAGCATGTAACTGCTTGATGTTTAAATCTAAAGAAAATATAACTAGAAAAAATTCCACGCGGACCAGGCAGCAGACGGGACTCGAACCCGCACCCTTCGCAATCCGGGCGAATGCACTGACCAATTATGCTACCGCGGCCCTCACGGACCGCGTCGAAATTCTTTCTAGCTATTCTTAAGCTGCAAGGCAGCGCCATCTCTTCGCATTATAGGTAAACCCACAATGTGTTATTTATTATAAAACATTGTAGGAAATATGTATTGCATTTTAAAACGGGAGTATAATGAAAACCAGCTAATTGAGAATAATTTGGGGGATAAAGCCGAGCGCGTCCGTGGGCTTAGCTCTAGATACCCACACGTGTCCCCTGGGTAGCGCCAAATGCTCGGCACATCACCGGTGGTAGGTTTCGACCGTGGCTGGTAACCACCCTCTAGGCAAAGCCGAGCCGCCAAACAACTTCCATCGTGTTTCGGCTCGATGCCTGGTGTTGCCGTTTTGGGGGGGGGGGGGGGGAGTGATTGCTGCGCTGGGTGGCTGATCGCGGAGGGTAGCGGGATCCTAAGCACGGTTCTCCGCTGGCCGACCGCAGGTAGTAGGGGGCCCAAGTAGTAGGAAAGCCACC